ATTGGGTAAAGTGAAAATTTGTCGAGCGTATAGGATTTTCAAAATGTTTCGTTACGAATAGTTCAAAGCATTTTTATCTGGAACATATGGCGATGCTTATGCAGACAAGCGTTGCCACCGATGATTGATATTAGACTTCTACCACAAACGCTCTTTGTATAGGATCATTATGTCCATCATCGCAACGAATCTATATTTCTTTACAAATTCAAGTTGTGATGGCTTAAAATGAGAGAATGCTTCTTCGAAGTCCTCGGATCGTGGATGGAAGATAACAATATATCTATTGTTTTTATTTCGCGTGTAATTGTACGAAGTTGTTTTACCGGACGGACAGAGAAGACCCAGCGGCTAGTTTTAAAAGAATTATTTTTTACTATTCCATTATTAAAGGGGTTTTGCCCTTCTCGAGGCCGCAAACTGGTTTTGTGTTTATGGTCGTCGTTAAGATTCCCTCTGCGTGCCCACCAAATGCTCACTTGCACACCGATCCACACAAACTTGTTGGGTCTAATGACGAAAAAGCAACGCTCGCGCCATCTATCTTAGATGCACGAATTATTCGCGCTTTGTTTCAATTCTTTTTGCTAATTTTCGTTTCTGTGTTAGCAGAAGTTATTTTCATATATTCATTTTATGTGGAATTAAACTATGTATGTCCGAACGCTTTAGAAGATTTTAGTAAAAAGTAGAATGAAACTATTGGGAAGAGTGAACAAAGGACGTTTCTGTTTTTTTTTTGTAGAGAACTAGTGGCGGATATTGGTGGGGGCAAACCAACGGTATTAAATTAAAACCCCCTATGTGTATAAAATATATAGGTACATACACATGGGGGAAGAAGTAGAGGGGTAGTATTTACTTATATATCTGTACTGTTCGGTCTCATTCTTCCCCCTCTCACGTCTCTCTTTGGTGTGTATACTGAGCAGCTGCCTGTTATGGCAGGAGGTCTCTGAGCCCTTCTACTCGCCTTTATCCTTGCCGAGACTAGTTTTAGTGTGGTACTGAAGCAGCTATGAGCTGGAAGTCGCGCGCGATCCTCCGCTACTACAACAACTCTACTCGCGTACATTTAGTTTAGTTCCACCATCTATTGTTTCTTCTATACTTTTGTGTGTGCTTCTGGATCGTTAAAGTTTCTTCATTTTTCAATCTGTGGATGCTTTTGTGAACATTTATATAGCAGTGGAAATTTGTACAAAGTATGTATCTTTAACATTTAATTTTGTAAATATTTTTATTCTTTATCCATATTTTATAATATATTTACAAATTTTATAAAATATATTTACTATTTAGTATAGCAATTGAAACATTTTTTTTAAATTCTACATGTTAATCGTGAAGGCTATGTTATATTTTTGTATAAAATTTTACAAATATATTCTATATAATAATTCTATAACATAATTGTACGATATTTTATATCGAGCAATTATTTTGTAGTAATTGATAATTTTGCGATAAATAGTACTATCTCATATAAAATGAATTTAATGCTGAATACAATTTATTTTTCTCATTAAAATATGTTATTATATTCTATTATTTTTCACTATTCATTTAAAAAAGATCTAAAATACGGGAATATTTTTAATAATACATTTTGTGTTTTATTTATTTCATTTAACTATATAACTATATTTTGTTGTAGAACTATATATAGATATGAATATTTTTATTGCATTCTTTACAAATAATAAATGTTGAAGATTAGTATATATCTTCAATATTTCGACATGGAAAAAGAAGATATATGTATACAAAGATGCGACTTATTGTCGCCTGTTTGTCCTTTTTCTTTTATTTATTTCACATCACCGTGTGTCTGTTGGGAATGTAGGGCCGAATTTTTATGATACTTGAGCTGCACTAACCTGAAATATCAGTTTTTTCCCAGATGCCTGGCCGGAATTGGGGACCTTATTTTTTTATATTCTCTATAAGAGCATCACTCACAGATGGTTTCAAAAGCCAACAACTACCGAGAACCTTCCTTTCTTTATCTTCGTCTCTTTCTTTCTGTAAACTGCCGGCTCGAAGTAAAATTTCCGCTCGATTATACCTAAAAACGGATAGTTTAACCATTTTTTTTAGGGTCTCCTTTTCCCTTAAAGTAACGAAAACAAGATTCTCTAGGTTCTAAAATTCCATCCATTTACTTTCGACAGTAAATACAATGGAAACTGCATCAAATCTTTTTTTTTACCTGCTTTTTGTTATTTCTAAATTTAACTAAAGTATTTTCTTTGATTTTCGGTACAAGTGTAACATATAATTTAATTTTAAATGTATTATGCTATTATCTAAATATCTAAATTTATTACGTGACTGTATTTTAGTTGGGATATATTTATTTATTCGTGGTTGCTGAAGATACGGCTTACCATTTTTATCTGGCATCCGGGTGTGTCCCCTAGGGCAGCGTCATGTACAGTCATCTCCCCCTAATACTATCGCCCCCTATACTAGTTTACTAGACAAAACTTTCCCAATTATTAATATTATAATATTTTCGAATTTATATTTAATCCTATATGTATTTTCTTCAATTGGATTATGAGAAGTACAGAGCTTTTTTTTGTAAAATCGAACAGACTGGGTAGAAATTATTTGAATCAATGCGACGGATGCAAATTCAGATGAAGTTGAAAAGTTTGATTGCATGCGTCGGAGGCGGCGGCGTCAAATGAGGGAGAGAATGGAGGTTTTGGATGGAGGTCGTCGGCCCTCGAGCATCATGCAAATTCCAGACTCGCACATCCATATTAACGTAATTTAAATGTGTGTGTAGTATCGCGAAATATCGAGAAAATTCATCAGGTATTCACATCCACCGCACAACTTTAGTCCATTTAATTTGCATGTAATTAACGAAAAAAGTTATGAATGTTGAAGGAGCTGATATTAATTGCACCAAGAAAATGTAACACCCATTAAAACTAAACCGTTCTAATTTTACATTTTTCATTAGCATAATTTTGTAATAGTGGTTAACGTACTCAACCCCTGTGCTCTATGCTATGAGCATATTAAAGCAGCCTGAAGTTCATTTCAATGTTACATAGTTCTGGTCTTCATGTGATAATAACTGGTTTTTCTATTTTTATTTAACGTGGGTGTGATGAATATAGGCCTGTTTCATTTGATTAAGTGTTATCTTTATATTATTGTAAGTGCATTCTGTTTGTCGTTCCCGAAAGTGCTTGAAAATGAATGTTTCTGGATCGGATTCCATGGACAAATATTACTGTTTCCGTTGGACGCGAACCCCTTGGCAACAGGTTGGCCGGTCTGCGAGGCCAAGAGTAGACTTCGTGATGATGATGGTGGCGGCGGCGGTGGTTTTGATTGCGTGTCGTCTCTTCGCTACAGTTCGATAAAAAGAAGGGGCAACACACCCCACGTCCATCTGGCACTCCGAGGTATTGGGGGAAAGCCTTGCAGACTGCAACAGCGTTTGTTATTACCATGCAAAGCAAAACTGTACCTAGACATTAGTCTAGGGCCCCAGCCACCTTGTTGCAGCAATAATTCAAGTTGGGGTTGCAGCCCTCACTGGTTTCCATGGAGACGGTCCCCCTCGGTCTCTGCACATCGATCGCCATTGCCGACCCCACCAGACCTTGTCTAAACATTTCACCCCCACGAATTGACAGCCAATGCACATCCCCCTTCTGTCGCCACTACATCACATACGCCATGCACCATGCCGTACTGTATATTTTTTAAATTATGACCATTATTTTTAAGTCTAGACTAGTGTAAAATCATCTGCATTTCGAGTCTAGACTAGAAAAACTTTTGTTCCATTTAAAAATCTGTAATCGCTCGCAAAGAATTAAAGTAATTTATTCCTTCTACTTTTAATCAGTCCAGACGTTAGATTGTTTTTTTTTCTATGCGGAACAAAAAAAAAACACTTTCATTATTCTGTGTAATTAAGGGTAAAGCCAAGAACGCCCAGGGCTTTTCAGATGTGTAGCGCCGTTCTGTCTGCAACCCTTCTATATCATCACCTTCCCTCTCCCCTTCACCACCTTATACTTCATCTTGGACTGTAACCTCGTAGAATTTAGAAACACTAACAACTTGTTGGTAGTCCTCCCGCAGTGCCTCGCTTTGTCTTCCCATTTGAATAATTAACGAATTCTTATATTATAAATTAAAGTTGATTCTCCGCCTCGGCTGTATGTACATCCACCGCTATAGAAATAGTGAAAGACATTCAGTTGTTTCGCCTCCACCTACTCGTGCTTTTCATATGCCATCAATTATATAACACGCGTTATGTGTCTTTATGATGACGGTAATCTAGTGAAAGTTTAATAATGGCCTCTGCCGAGCGGTTTTACTTTTTGCGCGGCACCAAAACGTGATTCTAATGTAACATTAGCAATTATGCGATCGCAACCTAAAAATGAAAACGAAATTGGCCAATACCATTTATCATCAATGCGAGCAATCTTTGAAAATGATACACATTAATGTTATACAATATGTATATATATATTACATTCCTTTTTTTTTTCGTTAAAAATTTCTCATCCATTTCAATTTCATAACAGAAACAACTTTCTCGATGATAACGTGACCGTAATAACTATTTATCGATGTTATTTTTGGGGCGAAAACTCTCTTTTTCGCCTTGCATAATGTGTGTATGACGTTCGATGCATACCTTTCGTTTTTTTTAATTCGATTTTGGTGTTTGAATGTGAGCGCTTAATATTCCTCTCCTATTCAAAATTTCTATAGAGATATTCAATTCAAATTCTATTGAATGGCGTGCGGACGAACGTGTTTGGAGTTTTGATTGAATGTTCAAATTTGAAATAGAAAATAAAATAAAATAAAAAAATCTAATATGAGGGTCATTTGCAGTTGGACGTGTGGAATAGAAATAGACGCATTTGTCGTAAATGATTATTCTGTATTTTGTTGTTGCTATTGTAATTATCTGAGCCTTTTTTACTAACGCTTATTTTCTGTTGCAGGGATGACGGTTAATTGAAAATGGCATCACCGACTCCTTCCATTGAATCATTACCTAGAGCTAACTCGATTGGATCATTTGGAGATCACGCCGATTATATATCAATTTCATCTTTGGCAGATTCGCCTCTGACTGTAAGCGGATCTTCACCACCAGTCAGCGATTCGACAGACAGGGACAACGATTTAAACGCCCAGCAGTGTTTGCATTGCAGAGAGTCCACAACCGACCACAAGTTACTGCCCTGTTACCACGCAATCTGCACCAACTGTTACGATACGAACAAGTACACTTGCCCAAAGTGCCAAATAGATTCGATAGAGGGCATTTTGAGTAACATTTTATTTAGTGCGGGAGATAATAACACCGGTGGAACTGGTGAATTAATCTCGTCAGCTGTCCGGTGCACAGGTTGCAAGACTAAGAAGTTGGACGCGATTGCTCATTGCGTCGACTGTGCCAACTACCTTTGTTCAAACTGCGTTATGGCCCACCAATTCATGCATTGCTTTGAAGGCCATCGCGTCCTAACCCTCTCCGAGGTGAAGGACGACCATAAGAATGGTTCGACGTTCACAAACGGCGAGAAAGCTATGTTTTGTCCCAAGCATAAGACCGAAATTTTGAAATATTACTGTCGCACGTGCGCCGTTCCGATTTGCAAAGATTGCATCACTTTCGAGCACCCAACTAGTCTTCACGAGTGGGAACCTATCAACGAAACTGCCCCTAAACAATTGGAAGCCATAACGCATGCCATCCAAGAAGCTAAATCCAAAGCTACAGATATCCGTAATGTTCTCAAGAACGTCGAACACGCCTCCAGTCGTTTGCAGATGCAATACCACAAGGCTCAGAACGAGATTAACGACACTTTCCAGTTCTATCGATCGATGCTCGATGAGAGGAAACAAGAACTCCTGAAAGAACTCGAAAGCGTATTCTCCGCAAAACAAATCTCTCTTGGAGTTGCCACCCAGAAGGGCCAGGAAACCGTAGAGCAGATATACAAAACATGCGACTTCGTCGAGAAACTTAACAAATGTGCCAGCGTTGTGGAGATTATCATGTTCCGCAAGTTGCTAGACAACAAACTGCACTCCCTCCTTAACTGCAACATCGATCAAAACGTGCAATCTGCATGCGAATTAGAATTTGTATCGAATTACCAAGCCATTCAAGTAGGCGTCAGAAATACGTTTGGCTACGTGAGGTCCAATTCAGAAGCCGTGGTAGGACCCAGCAAGCAGCCACCAATTGCCAGACCTACCGGCGGATCGAGTTCAAGTGGAAGCAGTGTTAATGGTAGCTCTGGAAGTTTGAATGGTGGAATCCACTGTCCATTCTCTATGTCGGGATCAAGTCAGTCGACATCTCCGTTCGAATCCAACAACATAATTTCGAAAAGATTCAGCAGCGTTAACAGCTTGGGGCCATTTTCGACGACTATCGGAGACTTGAACTTAAATGGAAATCCTTACGAAAAATGGTCAAACGGAGGATCCGATAGCATTTTCCAAAACGGCACCACCGATCCGTACAGTACGTTGGCCAGTACCGTGAACACCGATTCAATGCTCGATCTGACATCCAAATTGATGACCACCACTATTTTCCCACCGAAATCACAAATCAAGAGACAGAAAATGATTTATCATTGTAAATTTGGAGAGTTCGGTGTCATGGAGGGGCAGTTCACTGAACCGAGCGGAGTTGCTGTTAATGCACAGAATGATATCATTGTTGCCGATACTAACAATCATAGAATCCAGATATTCGACAAGGAAGGACGTTTCAAATTTCAGTTTGGAGAATGCGGAAAGAGGGATGGCCAGCTTTTGTATCCCAATAGAGTAGCCGTTGTTCGCACCAGCGGCGATATCATTGTTACTGAAAGATCGCCCACACATCAAATTCAGATCTACAATCAATATGGACAGTTTGTAAGGAAGTTCGGAGCAAACATCCTGCAGCATCCCAGAGGTGTAACGGTCGATAACAAAGGACGCATTGTCGTCGTCGAGTGCAAAGTGATGCGTGTAATAATCTTCGATCAAACGGGAACTGTTTTGCAGAAGTTCGGATGTTCCAAGCATCTGGAGTTCCCCAACGGCGTTGTTGTCAACGACAAGCAGGAGATTTTTATAAGCGATAACAGGGCGCACTGTGTTAAAGTGTTCAGCTACGAGGGGGTCTACTTGCGTCAAATTGGCGGCGAAGGTATCACCAATTATCCAATTGGCGTTGGGATCAACGCGACTGGTGAAATTTTGATAGCGGATAACCACAACAACTTCAATCTAACCATCTTCACGCAAGACGGTCAACTAGTTTCCGCATTGGAAAGCAAAGTGAAGCACGCCCAGTGCTTCGACGTCGCACTTATGGACGACGGCTCCGTCGTGTTGGCCAGCAAAGATTATCGGCTCTACATCTACCGCTATGTTCAAGTCCCACCAATCGGGCTCTAAATGTCTCTAAGACCGTTTCTCCTATTATTTTTGGGTATTATAACTTTTGTTGAGATATATAGCCCTAGTCGGCCCCCATTCCCTACACTTTTTGTTGATGCATTTTTAAATAGGAGTGGTGGCGCTACTTGGGGTGAAACAAACAAACAAACAAAAAAAAAGTGTAAGAAAGAGTAAGAGTATTCTTTAATTTAATTTACAAAAAAAAATCTCATACTTGAAGGAAAGTTAAAGTGAAACATTTTTTTATTTGATAATGAATAGTTTTTGTAATGTTGATATTTTTTTAAATATGTACGAATTTGACGAAATGTTTTGAAGAAAAGGCCCCAAAAGTTGTATTGACCAATTAATATTGAAAAGTTGAAACAAAACAGGGATATTATCAAAAGAAAAAAATGATAAAATTAAAGAAAACAAATCGTGTTAACCAAGTATAGCGGTGCCTGGGCCATTGTTGTATTTGAAAAAAGAATGAAATGAAGAAAAAAAAAAACAAATGATAATTGTGCATCAAGTTTCCATATATTAATATGATATATTATATATATTTTAATATGAGTGTATGGTGTTGTGAATGTCCGTAGCGTAGCGCGTTGTTGTTTTTTGCGGGAAGCCGCGTTGTTAGCTACCCCTAGTCACCCCCCTTCAAGACCGTAGCACTATAGAAATGTTGTATAAAGAAACAAAAAAGGGCGCTGAAATCTTCGAGAAAAAAAAATTGCTAAAAAGATCATGGAAAAAAGAACATCTCTTTATTCTGTATTTCTATCAATCTCTATCGCTCTTATCCAGTATTAAAATCAAATCAATTCAACTTTTCAGCGTCCGCAATTTGTATTATTACTCTCACTTTATGACACCATAGCCGTGCCCTTTATGAAAGTAAACAAAAAAATGGTATTTATATATTTTTTTTAAAAATTTTTTTGTTTTTTTTTTAGTTTTGTTATATTCTATTGAGTAAGTTAGCGCGAAAATTAAGAACCTATATTTGGTGCATGCAATATTTTCACCATTTATTATTATTTTCTATTATTATTAGTTGTAGTAAGTAGTAATATATTTGTTTGTTAATGCTGCCAAGTTTAAGATATAACGAGTGCGGGTTTTACTCCATGCATGTCATGCAAATGAAAGATGAAGAAAAAAAAACGTGAAAAGAAATCAGATGATACGAAACAATTGTTTACGAAACGATGAACGTAAAAAGAATACACTAAGTAACCGCTCTCCAGAAAAGTAAAAATCTCGACCAATATTAAAAATATATATTTAGATAGAATTTCATTTTTTCTCTCAATTATTTTTGATTTAGTTCTAAGATTTAATAATTTTTTTATTAATATATTTTTTTAAGGAAGCTGGCGGATAATCGATTGCTTATGGCTTTGGTTTTAAAACTGAAACATTCATACCGATGATGATTATACGCCACCCTCCCACATTTTTTTCTCTCTAAATTTATATGAAAACATACCATATTATTATTTTTTTTAATTTATGTCTTATTTATATTGTTATTATCTTTAAATAGCCGTGGCGATCGCAAGAGCGCGGGGGCTGAGCGATCTCATCCTATAAATCCAGTCCCCACTTATTATTATTATTATTTTGATTATTATTATTATTATTTTGACTGCGTGCGGATTTGCGTCGATTTACTGATGAAGTAATATGTTATTGATTTCCAATGGTCCGCGATGCCGCCCCGACACCGTGTTGTTTTTATTTTATTTTTAATTCTTTGTATTTGATTTCGTGCCCTTATTGAAGAGCACACACTATTTTTTCTACATATATATTGTTCCTCCTCGTCTCTCGGAGCGGCAGCGCGGACTTATTAAATTGGGACGACTTAAATCCGCCGAAATATCCCAGTTGAGCAGTTTTTTTACTTGTTGTTATTATTATTATAATTTTAATGGTAAATTGTTCTTAAATTAAATGTACATTGTTTTGTTTTTTTTTTTGAATTTTTGTTGTAAATGCTTACTTTTTTAATTAATAATACCAGTTTCTGCAGTTTTCATATTTCTTTGGTTTTATTTATTTATTATTTATTTCTTTTTTTGGATGACAACCCTCAATTCCCAATCACCACGGTCCCTCCCCAAATGGCACCTATTTTCATTCGAAATAAGTAGATCTAGATTTTTGCGTATTTATTTTAGTTTAATTGTGTGCATACACCATTCGAAGAGACGTTTTATGTAGAACTCGTGATCTCTTTGAATTTCGATTTTCTTTTAGAAAGTGTTGTAGTTTTTGTTCCGTTTTTTAAAATTTGAAATTAATTATTTGCACATAATTTATTGTTCATTTCGGATTCTCCAAAATCTGCCAAAATGAGAAAAAAAAACATAGATCTAGCCCATCAGACGACTTGTTTTTGGGGAAAAAATGTGCCCAAATTGTTTTCGGTCCACTTTTCAAGGCTACAAGGTTATCTGAAGTTGAGTTCCTGAAAAGCCTTCTCACGCGTGGATTTGGATATCGAATAAGGTAATCGACCCAAATACCTATATTTTTATTATTACTTATTATCAATATCATTATTATTAATATTATTAAATCTATAATACTCTATGAAGCACACACATTCTAGTCATAAAGTCTGTTGTTTTGTTCGCGTTATAATCTATTCTTTTTAAAAATTTATTTACTCTTCATCGATGCTTCGCTTCTTCAGGAAGAATTTCGAAACGAATCACGTGAATCGCATTTTTTCATTTCTTTGGAGCGCGCGAGGACTTGCATTCCGTCGTCCTGGAAGTTGAGAAGCGAATGTTACGATGACGATGAAAGCGTGGCACGGCTGTGATGCAGCCTAATCTCGATTATTTTTTTTACATTTACGAAACACAATTTTTTATACTTAGGCTATACATATTAATTATATTTATACATTATAAGAGTGAGACGATAATCTCCTGCGAAAGCAGCAGCTTGTATAAAATTATTTGAACAATCTTCCTTGGGCCCAACTAAGCAGATCCTATATAGTTATAGGCATGTGTGATTTAACGGTATCATAGTCATTAGTTATTAAAAAAAGGCAAACAAATGAAAAAAAACGCAAAAAAAAATCTTAATCTTAGTAGTTTTGGAAAACAAAGTATATATTATATATTTATTGGTTAGTAAGCAGTCTAGTGATTGAGCGTGCGGTTTTTTTTAATGAAACAAAAAAAAACATGACGCACTTTGTGTTTTAAGCATTTTTCGGTAAGACTGATTCAACAACACATTTCTTCAGAACGAAACTTAGTGATACTGCAGAAAAGGAAAAAGGAAAATCTATGCCTGGATTTGAAGAAAATAATAAATTTAAAAATACAAAAAAAAATCAAATGTTGCGAGCAGGATTAATGAAATGAAAACCGTCCTGTTACTGTGAGAAGGTTGAAAAAGAAGGTCTTTATCCTGCTCGGAACATTTTCCCGGCCTGTCACTTCAATATGTTTGCGTTTACCTTCATGTCAATTACTCTAGGGAACATTTATCTATTTTATCCAACAAAAAAAATAACTTTGTATATACAAGTAGCTTTTTGTTGCTTAATGTGTACACTGCCCCTTCCCTAAAAGTCTAGTCTTTAACACGTTCATTGTCAAATTTCTTTATTAACTCTTTTCAGTATTAGATTTTTCATTTCAATTGACAAAGTACGTTTTGTTCTTGCAAATTGTCGTTGACAGTGAAAGTGTTAATCAGTTCCTTCCACATTCCCAAAAAAAATCGCACAATTTCTTGTTACTGCATGGTAAAAATGAAACAAACAAAAATAAATATCGTTCCATATAATTATTATTAATACATACATGATAAGGGAAAACAAATAAAAAAAAGTGTAAGAGGAAAGAGTTTATATACATTTTGCTCATGTTTGAATACAATTGTTGCACTGTTATTGCGCCACGCCGCAGAGTCCACACTATTTTCTGAGCACCTAAATACGAGAAAATAAGATTTTTCCCCGGTAAAATGCGCTCGAACGGAACCTCTTTAACAGACTGTGATTAAAGGAAATGCCTTCCCAGAGAAACAAAAAAGAAAAGATTACAAGAAACCACATAATTTCTATTCACAACAATAATTTTCATTCATTTCTGGAATAATAAAAAGAGATAAATTAAGAAAACGAAAATGAAAAAGAGATTAAAAGCATGAACAAATATCGAAACGAGAATTTAAACAAATTTTTGGACATTAATGGTAACATATTTCATAGGTTCAGTAGGCATTCACCGGACGGTTAATTTATTGAAATTACCTTATCTGCAAATTTCTTCTTCGAGCGATTGACTAACAATTCTATGATGAGAAAATTCAAGAAAAAAAAATAAAGGAAATTGATTATTAATTAGGAGCTCTTCCAAGAAAGTCGCACCTCTCTAAAGTACGAACACCAAAAAATTGGTACTATAAATGTACTTATGACTGTACTGATTACACCAATTCTCCTTGCTTGTTGGCTGGAACTCGCGGACCAAAGCAAGCCGCGCCACCGACCAAATAGCTGCTTAAAAATACTACAAACAAACAAAAAATAACAAGTATACTTAGTCTAGTCGTTTTATATCAAATCATGTATTTTTATGTGCTTTGTACGTCCTCAGAAAAAAAAACATAACAAAAGAAAATAGCATTACTTGAAACAGTTGCTATGTAGCCCCTCCACCCCGCAGCCGTACGAGCGTCGCGGCGCGCGCGACCCCCGTGTATATTCATAGTATTATATAATTATTATTATTCTAGTAAGTAGAGACTATATTTGTTAGATCTGAACGAGTTTAATATTAAGTGTTTTTCCTTGTTGTGAGGCCGCACATTCCAGAAATAAGATGATGAGAATGAGGTGCCTCGTGTGTTTTCGGCCGCCAGGAAGTGTCCCTTTTTTGTAGGGTGTCCCTAAAACGAGGTGGGACTACCCGCACATCCTGTCGGTCTCACGAGGCACCAGGAAGAAGTTTTGAGAGTAAAAATCTTATATGAAGAACCCTAGTCGCTTTGTCCGTCATTGTTCCTGCCATAGGTCGCGCAGACAAATCGCAGAATCTATATTTGATAGCAATAGTGCGTGTTAAATATTAAAAAAAAACAAAAATTATATTTAATAATCCATGTAACTATAAAAGAAAGTAAAGAAAAATAACAAAAAAAAAATAACGTGTGGTTAGCTAACATATCCTAAAAAGAATTAAACTAAGCTGGCTAAGATCACATGACATCCCCATGATAATGTGCTTCTTTGTTGCTTGCTTGTGATGTGCTGCCGCCTTATATATTCTTACTTTATTGTCTAGTGAGTAGTATTTATTAAGAACTAAAGTAACCGAGCTAGTTTTGTATAGTTAGCCTAAGCTTATACTTCTCTCAACTGTAAGACTGATTGTATTTGTCTCTATTAAAAAAGAAAAGAAAGAAAAAAAAAAGAAGAACAAAATATATTTGCAAAATTGAATCATGGCAATATATATTTTTGAGCTATGTTTGTTGAAAAAAAAAGTGATTGTAAAAGAGTCAAGTGATTGTTAAAGCAGTAGGGCCTAGAAATTATTGCATGCGCCTCGATTGCACCTCCCCCAAAAAATATATAACATTCTATGATGCGGCAGTGGACAATAAGAAAGAAATGAAGAGGAAAAGCAAAATGAATGAAGAAGGTTCGAAAGATGTTGCAAAAAAAAAATAATGAAGAAGAAAGAAAACAATTAACGGAAATCCACTTGTTGGCTAATTCTACTGTGTAATTTCTCCCCCCAAGAAAAAAAAGTATTTTCAAAGTTGTTAAATCAAAATGTTGCTAAAAATTTATATAAATAATGTAAAAAAAAATGAAGAAAAAAAAAGTGTCTTTCGGTTGAAGTTTTTGATTTTTGTGGGTAAACATATATATATTATTCTAACGCCCCCACAAAAATTATTATACCAGATGAGTTTATTTTGATATTGATCGTTAATGATATATTGATTCGGTGTGAATGTCACTTGATTATATTGGAGCACATTATCTGGCTAAGCATATTCCATGTATACACTGTTGGTCCTGTTACAAGAAATATCTTATAATAATTTATATGTTGTAATTTTAAATATGATATGAGAAAAGAAGTAATACTATTTTTAAAAAAAGACGTAAGAGCGTTGTCGAAAAATAAAAAAAACAAATGATAGTAACCGTTCAGAGGGAGGAACGAAGGCTTTTTGTTTCTTCTTGATGTGAATGATTAGACTAACAGGATTGAAATCGTTCCTTCTTCGCATGCAAAAAGAAAAAAGGAACCTCGTCGAACCCCCCTTTTCGAGGACGAGAAGGATAAAAAGTATTTTCTTTTTTTTAATATTATTTTCTTTATTTATTTATTTATTTATTTTCTTTTACCTGTTTTTCATTTAATATTTATTGTCGGAAGTTTCTATTTTTAATAGGACAGTTTTCTTGTTATTATTATATATAAACTAAGTGTGCCTAGTCAATAGAGTTCAGGTCAATTTTACGAAGTAATTAATTAAAAAAAAAATGTGAAAATGTAAAGCAAAAAAAAAATGTGAAACGATAGAGAGATGTTTTGTGGAGTTTCATCGATTAATATTATTATTAAGAGACCAAAGTTGTTTGGATTTGTTAATTCTAGCGATGAGGGAGTAGAACTGCGGCGAAATACTTAATTGGAAAACGACTAAAGTATATCACACTACTATTATATATAAATATTATTCATTACTATTATTACTATTATTGTTTGTATTATTTATTTGCCAAAAATAATGTAATATGTATTACGAGACATTGTGATTGTTTAATTTTTTACTCTACTATTATTTTCTCATTTCGTTTTTCATCGCTTGGTACTACTGAAAGGAATCGTTCTCTCGCCTGTTCCAACACAATCATCTCGTTATTTATATCTAAATTTGACCATTTACTATATATTATTTTTATTTTATATTTTATTAACTTAAACTTAGTATTTAACTGTCTAATTGAGTACAATATTTGATGATTAAGTCATATCAGTTTGTTACAAGCGTGTATTTATTGCAGTGGTGTATCTAATAAAGCATTTTGTTTGCTTGAATTGAAAAAAAATATTTATTTCATTCCATCTCAGAAAGAAAAACAATCCTTTTTCCCATCCAGAACAATGCATACATTAAACGATAATAAATTGAAATTGTTCGGTAAACAAAATCTATTATTGTAAATAATTTTCAAAATTAAATATATTTAATGTATGCTTTGTAAGTAAATTATATTTATTTCTTTCCAAATCAACAAGATTGAAATAAATTACAATTAAATGTAAGTATGAATTATAAATAGGTAAGTAATACTTTTATTATGTTTTTAAATTTTCCGATTTGCTGATTCATGTTGTTAGAAATTATCTGGAAAATTATGAAATGCATCTTGATATATCTTGAACATTGTATTCTATTCATACCAATGGTAATTTGTAGTATGGAAACTTATAAAATGTATTTATTTGGCATAACTACTGAGAAAATATACACAAAAAATACATTTGTCATTGAGTACTAGGTGTTAGTGACTGGTTATAAACTTAACTATAATTCAGTAATACAAAAATGTATTTTTGTAACTAAAAAAATAAACATTACTTCTTAGTAAATATTATGGTTTCCTTTTCCAGTTTCATAAGATTCCTTAAATTGTTTTATAGAAAGGGTAAAGTCTGATTTTTTTTACTCTACTAATAAATTTCACATGACATTTTCTAAGCATAAAGGCAATCTTTCAAATAGTCAATTTTAAAACTTTTTATTAAATATAATAATAATTTATTGGCCAAACATCAATACATAAGAAGAAAAAAAAAGTACAATTTATACATAAATAAATTTTAACATACAATAAAAAAAATATATATTAATAAGCTGGTCAAAGGGTAATAAATATATTTTTATCTATATTTAAATAATTAAAATAATCAATAATTGTTTAAGTATGTAATGTTAGCAGTTAGCATTTATAAATAAATACTGACAGTTACTTATATGTAAATTTTATTCAATTCTAGACCATACAATAAGTATGGATATACACAGTTCCTCTCGATATAAATAAAATCGAAGATAAAAGTCTTTCCACTTTAACCATCTTAGTCTCTTTTCGAACCGCCTGCAATGATAAGTTATCTGCCTTGACAGTTTTATGTGGGACATTAATTTTAATGGTTCGAGTATTATCCGCAACAATAGGTTCCGCCAAGTTTTCGTCATCCTCGAACATTCAGCACAAGCATTCTGCGGCATACCTTAATTATAACCGCTTCATTTTTATCTTCTCCGAAAGTTTAAACGCTCAATAAATACTCGATATTATTATTATATTTCATGGAACCACATGCAATGTTATTCACTAAATCGTTGCATTCACACGAAGCTTTAATAGCTTACAAAATAAAGAATTATTGTTTTCAAACTTAATCAAATTCTGTATTATGATTTGGTTAAATAATGAAATAAGTTAATTTACATAACTTAAAATAGGCCTTTTTGAACACCTTTCGTTATCTAGATAATTTGATTTGCATATAGGCATTTTGATTTGAAATATCTTTTACAAAGTTATAATAAATATTTGTCTGGGTTAAAATCTTAACACGAAATTCTATTTACATTTATTAAAAATAAATTCAAACTATAGTTTATATTTGGTAGTATAAAAGAGCTTAATAATAACTATAATTTATTGCATGTTTGGTCCTACACACAAAGAGTCTTAAGAAAACATATTATACATTACAAAAGTTACAACAGATTTTTTATTTATTTAAAACTGTATTTTATAAAATTTACGATATACAAAAATATAATTAATGATAGTATTATATAACAGGTTTTTTTTTATCATTATTCAAATTTCAATTAAATATAATTTATTACATAACAGAAACAAAAATAATAGTTATCATTTTTAGAGCATAACTACATGTAAAGTTGCCTATATATCCCTTGAACTAGTATGTTGAATAATTAAATTGCTTATTCCAACTTATTCATACTACTTGCAGTGCAGAAACTTCGTTGGCAATTCCGCATATATTATTGCCGATAGCTATGTAAACGTAGCCTTTATCCCCGAAATCTTCACCCCAAGAATTCCGTACAATGTAGTGTGGAATTTCGCTTTCCAAGTCATAGCCTACTATTTGGACTGCATGATTTAAAAATTTCTGTTGAGAGTTACAATGGTATTGCACTATTCCACCTAAATAGTTTTGCCATGATAGAGCATTTATAGATGTTGTTACAGGTCCATGCTTAGCTAAAGTAGCCAAGATGTAATTTTCGTCATTGATCAAACTAAAATACAAATACATGAAAATTATTAATTGAAATGTAGATGTAATATAACATACCTATCACAGGCAAACTTCTTTATTTGTACACCATCTACTGTATTATTACTCTTGCATTTTTCTGTTTGCAAATGTAGAGGATATTGTTCTTCTGTTTGAATTTTAACCTTCTTATCTATAAACCATTTCAATAGAGTACACATGTCACCACCATCACAGCCATTATTATTGTACCCAGCACAATCAATAGCCTGTTGTGTACTGAGTTTAACTAACTTTTTGGTCTTGATTGCATTCATAGCTTCTACTGTTTCTATTACACTGAAAGCCCAGCAAGCACCACATGTATGTTGGTTGTTAACAGGAGTAATAACGCCTTTTTCTCTCCAATCTATTTTTAAAGGAAGTCCACTGATTTGCCTTACTTCTCTTGACTTAGATTCCTCAGATGAGGATGTGTCTACATGGTTTCTCAATAATTGCCGTTCTGCATAATCATCCATCAGATGATCATCCAAGAACTCATCCTCAAACAAATCCGAGTATTTTGTAAGTCCATACCATGCACTCAAGTTGGATTTTCTTAAATTATTCAATTCATTGATCTTATTTAAAGAAGCCTGCAAGTAAATAATCATATTAATACTGATTAAAAATTTGCTCTATTCTTACCTTAAATGCCCCTAATCTAAATTGGTATTCAGTCACATTGTTATATGTTTTATTATACTTTTTCAGAAACAAACGAAACTCACTGTCATCATCATTCTTTTTATTTAGATCAATAGGAACCATAAAAAGTAAAAGAAAAGCAAACCCTAGGAACAACATGCATCTCTTGAAAGTAATCATTTTGGATGATTATCATTTTATTTTTAGATAAGAAATTTGGTAATAAATAACCAACTTCAAATCATTTTCTTATATAAAAAAAGTTAATCTTAAATGAAAGTATTATTCTATAAAGACTGTCTTAAAATAATTAATAATATGATTTTTTTAATCAAACAATAAAATTAACACCAAAAAAGAAATAAACTGTTTATTTACACCTTCACATTTTTGACATTTAGTAGTTCCAATTGACTGCTATTGGTAGTCCAATAGAGTCTATAGTAGGTCGACATTAAATTGTAAAATAAAGATATTATTTTTATAAAACAATTTTATTATAAATTAATAACCAATGTGTATTATATTCATAGATTATTTATTTAGTTTGTTTACTATTTAAGAAATTTATTATAGTTGTAGATGGCAATAGTAGTAACTTTTAGCTGTTATGTTGGTATTACCGGATATTGTCATGAATAGTGTGTCAGAGTTAGGTTTCTCTCTTTTTAATGCTCCCTTTCTAGTGAACGCATCAAAATGGCTGCCCCTACAATTTCAAAGAAGCGCAAGGTATTTATATAAAATGTATATTTATTGCTAAAATTAAACTTAAATATTTGTGAAAAATGATAAATTAGTGAGTGAGTGTTGTGTGCAATTTGTTTAAATGTATTTAATACTCGCGATGCCTTGGATATCCGAAGAATGACAGCTATAACCTGACAATAACAACGTTGACCGAATATACATTAAAGAAATTAAGCATACTTTGCCACAACTCTTCCATAAGTAGTTTTGAAATATAGTATAAAAATACTTATTCACATGTAGTAATATTTCACATATATATTTAAAATTCGTCAAAATCTCTTTAAGGTGTTAAAACATGAACATACAAATAGAATACATGACTATACTTTGTTGCACATATATCATTAGTTTCTGTTGCTAACAATATTTATTTCATTTTAGTTTGTCGGAGATGGTGTGTTCAAAGCTGAATTGAACGAATTTTTGACCCGTGAATTGGCTGAAGATGGTTACTCTGGTGTGGAAGTGCGGGTCACCCCAACACGTACTGAAATCATCATCATGGCCACCCGTACCCAAAACGTTTTGGGTGAGAAGGGACGTCGTATTCGTGAGTTGACCTCTGTTGTCCAAAAGAGGTTCAACTTCCCAGAACACACCGTGGAATTGTATGCTGAGAAGGTAGCCACCCGTGGTCTCTGCGCCATTGCTCAAGCTGAATCCTTGAGATACAAACTTATTGGAGGCCTTGCTGTCCGTCGTGCCTGTTATGGTGTCTTGAGATTCATCATGGAATCTGGAGCTAAAGGTATTGTTACATCCATATATTTCATGTTTGTTATCACAACTCAATTACATTATATACTATTTGCAAGGATAAGTTTCATTGTTGTGAGTGTATTATTAACTTACTACTTTCCAGCTGTCCAATATTATATTTTTTTCATCTAATAACTGATTGCTTTCAATTTTTAAAATCAATCACTTTAGTTAAAAAATACATTTCTTTTGTTTATACAGCAAGTTTTAAATGCTGGAATTGCTATGTATATGTAAATTTAAAATGATTAGGATAATTGTTTAATTAGAAGTAAGAAAAAAAGTATATGGTTCATATAATTATTTATTAGCCAAAATATAACAACGATACAAATTAAGTATAATATAATAAATTTAAAAAAAGTGGTAATTTTCAACTACGAATTTTCCTTATTAAATTATTTATGATAGAAAAATAAGTGCATAATATATTGAAACATCATAATTTTAGTGTACTGCAGAGCATAGGTTCAAGTGTGCCACAAGGTTGAAAAGCACTGGGCCCAATGGCTTCAATTGTAGTATTTATGCTCTTCTATATAATTAGACATAAAGTTTAAATGTTAAAGTTGTAATTTTCATATTTTTTTTTGTTATGAAAAAGGGTTTCAAGTATTTGATTATATATATTTTCTCAATATTGATATTTTCAAACGTTTCTATTTTTAAGGGCTAATAGATAACTAGTAATTTCTTATCATTTGACAAATGATATGGAATAAAGTGTGAAAGTAATATTTATATATATATATTGTACAATCTAAAGAATGCTAGGTTGTTTAATATTTTGTATGCGCAATTGAAATCGAGCGCAAAAAAACTGTTTGTAATCTTGTATATAAAATGTACACACAATGTTTTTGGAATTGGTTGATCGTATTGGAGCATTCAAAGGAGCCTCTGTGAATTATACAAGCTTAATCTAATCAAGGTTCTGGGGGTTATCGGTGCTAGTGACCTCCGCTTTTATAATATTTTATACGACACGCTCACAAGCGGTCAGTTTTAAAAATAAAAATGATCAAAGCGGCCGTTTGTAAGCATTTGTGAATGAAATGGAGAAAAGGAGAGATCGCGTGAAAATGTTCCTGTTCGCGGTTGTTTTGTTGTTTGCATTCGAGACGATTTCTGGTTGCGATTATCCCACGTTTAAGAATACGAGTGTTACCGTCGTCGGTGTGCGCGGAGTTGATAAGATTTCCGGATGTTTAGAACCAGATGGAGCTTTGGAGAAGGCCTCGTACATTCAAATCATAAATCAATCCATTCCAGTTCTGTATAGTGGTGCAATAAGGAATTTGCCAAATTTGGTCGATGCGGTGCTCGACAATAACGGGATCATTGAAATCAACGCCGGTGCTTTCTATAACCTACCCAAGTTGCAGTTGATGCGACTAGAGAACAACAATATAGAAGTGCTAAAAAATGGTGTATTCAATAATTTAATGATCAAAGAACTACATTTGATGAATAACAGTATATCGGTTATTGACCAAGGCACTTTCAACCACATGCCACAATTGACAATTTTAAATTTAGATAAGAACAGATTGTCCAATTGGAATGGAGATTGGTTTCTTTACACTCCGACGATATCAAATTTAAGTTTCAAATCTAATCAGCTCAAGCACATCCCGAAAGGTGCGTTTAGGAACTTAAAAGGATTCCACATTATTGCCGGAAGAAACATCACAACGAACATCAACTTCGATGATAATTTAATAGAAACAATAGATCCTAATGCATTGGAAGGATTAAACGTGCTCGGTTGGCTATTTCTAAGCAAAAATAAGATTCGAGAGTTGGACGAGAACTTGCTGGATCCACTGGAGAATATTGATTGGCTTAAATTGAGCTTTAATCAGTTATCGTGCGTTCCGGATAAAATTATCGAGAAGATACCAACTGTGACGCGATACATTGACGGCAATCCTTTGAGTGATTACTGCAGAGCGAAAATATTTCGATGATCTTAACTGAAGCGGAACATACAAACAATAAACTTAATTTATATCGTAGTTTAAAATGATCATTAACAATTTTATTTATACATAGCATAAAATATTTAATATTATTTTTATATATATATTTTTCTGTTCGGAAATTATGGTGAAGGTGAGATTGCTTGCTTTTTGGTATTTACATTAACTGATCAACAACATAACTAGAACACGTTTATTAATTATGTATATGTTTTTTTTTGCATTGCAGGTTGCGAAGTTGTTGTTTCTGGAAAATTGCGCGGTCAACGTGCTAAGTCCATGAAATTCGTCGATGGCTTGATGATCCACTCTGGTGACCCATGCAACGACTACGTTGACACCGCTACTCGCCACGTGCTCCTCAGGCAAGGTGTGCTTGGAATCAAGGTTAAAATCATGTTGCCGTGGGATCCAAATGGCAAGATTGGACCAAAACGTCCATTGCCAGACAACGTTTCCGTCGTCGAACCAAAAGAGGAAGCCCTTCCTCTTTTCCCATTCAGCGACATCAAGCCAATCAAGCATGATGCTCCACCAGCTGTTGCTGTTGTTTAAGTAACATAATTATTATAATTTCCAATAAAAACTTGAAAAAAAAAACTTTTTAAATAATGTACTTTTTATTTTTACCTTAAGATATTTCCAACAATTTTGACGAGATTCAGTTTATAATGATTTGAATAAAATTTACAAATTGTTTTTACTGAATGTAACTACTACATTTTAGAAGGTCGTATCTCGTCTGTCCGATATTTTGGATTGTAATGAACAAAGATTATCTAATTTCAATGCTAATTAACCTTTTCAACTACCAAAAGGTCATTTACCTTGGTCATTTGTAGAAAATATTTAATTTGTATATCGTAAAGAGTAGAATTTTCCGACATACTAATAAATAATTATTTGTAATAAAAACATTTATATGGAAATTTATAAATTAAAAGTCTTTAATTATTCCCGGAATAATTTTGTTATTCAGTCGTGGAGATAAGCAGTTCTAGAAACATTCGTTAATTTAAAAGTAAGATATTGTACAGCACGGGTTTTTCTATAATACGATTCACTTTATTTCCTTGTAGAAATGGAACACCATTGGATATTTTGACAAACATATGATTAAACTTTTAAAAAATAATTCTAATTTCATTTAAAAATGTATTCTTAATTTCAGGAATAAATTCAAAATTGTTAGTTTATTCTGTAAAATTAGATACGAAATCAAGAACAAATAAGGAATCTGATGAGTCTAGTAGTAGTAGTAGCCAATATATTATTAAAAAAAGGAAGCAGCATGTAGCACTATCAACTATTTTTGCCAATAAAATGTATTTTTCGTATGATGTGTAGCTTAAGTTCAGTGGTATCTGGGAACCGCAAATACTCAACAAGTGAGCCGCACGTGGCTTCGGAGCCGCGGGTTGCCGACCTGTGGTCTAAACCAGGGGTTCCCAAACTTTTCAGTTTCCGGCGCAATTAATATATCAAGTCTAAACATTGGTCTGTCTCAGGACGAAGCGGCCTAGAGTTTGGGAACCACTGGTGTAAACCTAATCAATAATAGACGTATCGATGGCGGGTCTATATCGCAAAACCGTCTATTGAAATCCCGACTGTATCGAAATCTCGACAACCATAATCCCGACTGTATCAGAATCTCGACAACCATAATCCCGACTGTGTCAAAATCCTGACTATCGAAAAATTTTAGAATAACACTTAAATTATTTCGGAGCGTAATCACCTTGTGTTACACTTTTATTATTAATAACAATAAATTATTATTAATTTATTTGATTTTGTTGAATTATTCATAATAATTGTTATTATTTATTATTAATAACAATTTAAGTCACTATGCTCCGGAATAATTTAAAAATGTTATTGTAGACATTTTCGATATAGTCGGGATTTTGATACTGTCGGAATTTTGATATAGTCGGGATTTCGAACGTCGGGAATTTGATTGGCGGTATTTCGGTTGTCGGGCTTGCGATTGCCACCGATCGATGGCTACTATATGCATTTATCGCAAAATGCAGCCTAAAACGACGGCTACCTGTACTGTTGTTAAAAGGAATAAAGGAATCATGATAATGTGGTACAAAACTTTCCAAATGTGTAGGGTTAGTTACCTTAATAATATATAAAATTATTTATGGTCATACAAAGCAAATTTAGTCGTAACATAAATTTGTATTTATAAAAATATTTTTTAAGTATATACAAGCAATGTGCATAACAAGGTGTGAGTCAAGACACTTCTTTAAAGTGTAGGGATTAAAGGAAAAAATATTATATAATTTGTACTGTTCATATTAAAGAATGTATTCTTTGAAAAATCGGTATATATTACAACGGATATTATTTACTAAAGTAACTAATACGATATACAAAGTGGGAGAAAAAAGAAACTATTATACCGGCTACTGTGAAAATGCAATATTAACTTCAGCTTATTGTTGTATAATTAATTTATTTGTTTACTAATTATCCAATATTAATCTATTATAATTCTTATATGCAACCTTTTACTTACTGTTATATAAATATATTTGGTCATATTTTATTATTAAACAAACACGTTGGAACTGATTTCAAAAATAAACACATGAATTACAAAATTAAATTGCGTACTTTGCATTCGACGCATTAATTACCCATAACAAGTTTGTTTTTATTTCAATATCAATAAATAATATATAACGTCTTGTTATTAATTTAATGGAATTAATTTATGGAAATCTTTAAATGTTGATAAATTAAATATATCAAAATGCAAAATACAAATATAAATGTGCCGATTCATGCAACTTGTATTAAATGTTTTCATTTTCTTGTAATGAAAATAGGCATCATTAAAATGCACGATTCAACGAGTTTACTTCCGTTTTTCTTTTAATTAATTATACATATTTAATATAACGTTAATCGTCAATTTGAAATTGTAATGAAGGCATGAATAAAAATTGTAGTTATAGGTGATTTATTTTCAGATTTTTGTTTAAATATTTATTTTATAAAATCTTATAATTCAAAAAACCATCATACAACACAACACCAGAAAAAAAAATGATACTCTGTTCAGGAAATAAAGAACAATAACACTAGTCATTAATGTGAAGAAAATAATAATAAATCAACACTTTCACAAATGAAAATTAATTTTCAATGGCCGTCAGTCTTCTTGATTGGTGATAAAAAAACAATAGATGCCTTGCATTTTTCTTTTGGGCCTTTTGCAAAAGTGCGATTAGAACGTAAATAACTGTGAGTGTGTGTAGAACAAACATCGATGGAATTTATTGTTGCGGTTGTGGCTGTGGCGCCAATTTGCATACGAACGTGATACCGTGGTTCAGGATTTTTGTTACGAAGGCTGGAGTCGAACGGTGACGACCGATGTGCTCGACAAGATCTCTTAACTCGCGGAACATATTCCTCGTGTATGGATTACGACGAGAGACGTAACGCTGCATCAGGAAATGATAGTAGATGAAAGGAGTCAACAAACCAGCTCTTCCCCTAAAAATGTATTCATTAAAAATAGTAATACTCAGAAGTTTATGATTGTGCTTACATGAATATAAGAATGACGGTGTACGGCATCATGATAATCTCAGCTAACGAAGCCGCCCTCAAAATGTTACGAGATTGGAACTCCACCAAAGAGATTAATAACCTGGCTCCCCACCAGCAGTTTTGTCCTAGTGCCTGGAATACAATACAATATTTACTTGATCAATTATAGTCATTACATTAACTTACATCCAGAAGAGTGAGAGCATAACTGGAAGCATGAAGCACTGCAAACAGTACAATTGGTATCAAAACCCCTGTAAATGATTATTAAGGAATAATAATACATATTATAATAGTATTCATATTGACGACATTGTGTTTTTAAGGATACAAGTCACAGGAGTAACATATAAGAAGATCAATGAATACAGCAGATAGTGGCAACTATCTTCCGTCAATAACCTAGCAATCAGTTCCCTGGAAAGTGAGAATCCTCCCATCCTTTGATGCAATCTCAATGCACTTGTAGCTGCATTTGCAATAAGTGCTTTATAATAAGCATTTTGTGAGGTTCTACAAACAGAAAAAAAAAAACATGAGTAAAGTATAGAAATTCATCTATGACCTACATGATGCAAATAAATAATGTCACGCCAATTACATGATCAAAACAGGTTTTTTTTTCTGATTTAAATAAATGATAGTTTAAATATAAAAAAATATTACAAAAACAGGTTTTTGTAATATTTTTTAAAAGTGAAAACATGATTATGTAAAATTCGTTTACCCAATAAGAGGTACAAAGTATCCAATGGTAAATAAGATGGTTAAAATTCGTATAGTCCAAAGGCACACATCTATTTTGTGTGCAATTACATGGGCCTTAAGTGCCTCAATGTTCAGACCTCTGGGTGCTGCAGGGGTGTCATTATTGGTATTATTTGAGTCACTCATATTGAAGAGTTTCAATGAAATATACCTGTAACAAAAAAAATTGATTTTAATTAACCTAGAAATGGCGATTATATTCAACACATTACCTTTAGCGATGATTTCAATACGTTTCAAAAAATGCTACGAGCTTTGAACTCTCGATGACCGTATCTGCACGACGACAACAGCAGCTTCAAACTGGAAACGAAGTTTTAATTTGATGTTGGTCACTCAGCTAACGTCATAATTTTGTCACTCATCAAAAGTGAATGAGATCCAATGAAAGATCACATGAACCAACGCAGATGGCGTTCTATAATACTTGGTAAAAACCAATAGATGGCACCAGCATATTGCGAGAAATGTTTACAAAATAAGATGAGGTTAGGCGAAGCGTGATTACTTTTTCATTAGAAAAATAAGGATTTAACATGCAATGTAAATATAGAACACTCCTTACTTTTTAATTGCTTCTTAATTATTATACATTTTATGTTGCTTACATGTTTATAACTCTACTACCATTCTTATTGTTATAAAATGACATCTGTTGATGCATATGTCTGATTATATTAATTATTTTAAATTGTTAAGATTTTATTTTACTTAAATTTCAAGTACACTAAATGTAATCTCATATTTACATACCTAGTTTATTCAAGGATTAGGAAATTGTGTAACAATAATTAAAGTAATTTAATTTTTCTTTTTTTTTTGTTCACTTCCTAAATAATTGGTTCATGTGACTTGGATCAATTTAATATTTAAAACAATAGAATATTGTTTTGCATTGTATATAGAAAAGCATATATTCTATCAATTTGTAATAACACTTTCATTTAAAGTATTAATTGCCCCTGTTTTACTAGGGGTAAGTATTCTTTTCAATAAGATGCTTTCAGAATATATTAATGCAATGTTGCGATAAATTAATAACAAACTTTCGTATGCAAATTATTGTAGATTCATCATTATTTTTCATAATTGCGCAAAACTACATATCAATATTATATTTAGAGATTTTAAAACTATTACTAAAATTAATAGTATTTAAAAACGTTTTTTATCGACCCTAATATACTCTTTCCAAAATACCATCGACCACAAGGGGTCTACATGATCCTCGTTGGGAACCTCTGATTTAGACCAACGAATATTGATTTTTTTTACGAGTAAACTATTATTATTATTCAATTACCTCAAAATGATCATTATACTATGAGAAATATTTCCATACTTACATCTCTATTTCAATGTGACAATAACAAAATGGGTCAGTATTTCCAAAACTAGTCGTCTTTAAACAATTTATTATTTACATTTTATTTCTTGAATTTAAACAACGTTATTTTATAGTAAAATATTATTGCGTTGAATGAATGTATAAAAGAAACTAATCATGAAGTACAAAAATAGAAAATTAAATGAAACCTTTTGAGTACCAATTGAGATACGCATAGCACACATTAAGAAATTCTTTCTTAAAGCTAGATATAAGGTTAAGAAACTTGTTTTCTATTATTGTTGTTTTCTAACTTGTTAACACCTGGCGAAGTAAACAAATCTGGAACGTGTTTCGTTTTATTTCTCATTTAGTTGAACTTCAAACAACAATTATTAACAAAATATTTTTATTTATATTGACTCTAATTTGGGCTTATCGGCCTAAACAGAAAAAAATATTTTTATTGTGAATTTAGTTCAAATTATTATGATGAAATAAAACATTATCAAAATTATATTTATTGTTCGAACTTATGCTTTAAACTTTATTTGTTAGGAACCTTATGTTTTAAGACTTTTTACTCTTCAAAATTGGTATTGGTATCAATAATTGCATTTAACAAACTTTTAAATTACTACTATTTACTAAATACATGATGATTAATGCAAAATTTAAATTAGAAGTATAAATTGAAAACTATGCGCATAACACAGATTCAGCTATAATTATGGAATATCTATAAAAAAAAGGAAATTACGAGAAATTGTTTACTTGTCAACTAATGATTCAACCTTTGGCTTTTCATTTAAAATAACTTGATCGTTCTAATGTACATACTTCTAAAACAATAATACATTCAAATAATTTATGCACGTTTTTTTTATAGTTAAGAATAATTTCTTAGTTATACTTTGGTCAATTTATAACTATATGTTTTATAGGAATAAACGAATCAATAATGCTAATTCAATTATATGATTTTTACTCAAGTTGTCTTAAATGTGCAAATACATATTTAATACAACTTGAGTATGTTGTTTTTGCTAAGTTTTAATGGTCATTTTAAGCATAAGCATAAATTGTATATAAATGTATGTAGCTAGATGGAAATGTTATGTTAACAATTACATACAGTAAATAGTAATAATGTGTCGAACTTACAAAGTCTATTTTAGTACTATATGATGTAATGTAAATTTGCATATATATTGTTCTTAGAAAATATTTATAATTGACAGTCAATATTCTTTTCGTGTAAATATCATGTGAGTTAAACTGTTCTACCACCGACAGTATGAAGTACAGTTGAACCTCGCTTAACGAGTATTTTGCATAACGAGCAAAATGAATTGTAAGAAAAATGACTCGTTTAACGAGCGACGTTTCGCATAACGAGTGACGATGAGAAGAGAAGTCCCGGATTGCGCGCCTGCTACAGCATATATAATACTTGTGTACACATATTATTTGTATTTTTTAATATGTTTCACTATACGAGTAAAACTTCGGAAATTTTGGAACGGATTAAACTCGTTAAGCGAGGTTTCACTGTATTTGACTTTTTAAAATAATTAACATCAGGTAATAATTACGATTTAATAAGCAAAAGCTTTTTCAATTTTAGAAGCAATAATAATATGTGATTAAACTTGACAATTAGAATAATGTTTTATTCCACTGATTTTTGTATACATTTTTAAAAATTTAATAAATTCAGTATGTCAAATTTGATGAATCAATATACCAATAAGATTTGAACATTTATAGTATATTTTATAATCAAGATTGGATACATGATTTATTTTTTTGCCAATTCTGTTTATACTTAGTAACAAATTAATAATCTGAATATATGTGATTTACTTGATATTGTATATTCAATCGTTGTTGCACAAGCAGAATATTAACTTTCGATTACTTTCGTTATACACTGCGAAATTGTTTATTAACACCAACATCTAAAAACTGACCTTTTTAACAGCTCTTTCACAAGATTTATTTGCTAATGAAAATACACTTACGTGCAGGCATACAGTCCAGCAGAAACTGTTCGTTAATGATCTCTCTGAATATGGAAAAAAAAATCTCAGTTACATTTGTTAGCAACACGCACGAGAATTACCAATGCATGCAATTATTTAAGAATGATAATTTCGTTTGCTGAATTTCACTCGTCGCTACCAAACATGCTACCAAAGATTTCGATAATTACATTAAGGTAGCGTGCTTGATTGCAGCGTGGTGGTGGCATTTACCGTTATGTTATAATTATAATTCTGAAGTGATCCTCAAGATACGGAATTATTCTTTAATTATAAGCAACGTACGCTTCACGGAATGCTAGTGTTGCATGTATCTATGTCGAGATCAGAGTTAGTTTCTTGACCCACGTAGAATTATCGTAGATCGAATTTGCGTAAGTGCACTAATTGGACGCACAAACAAAAGATTTATCTGTTGTTAACCCAAAATAAAAGGCCTTTTTATGCCTATTATCTTAAGTACGACGAAACATCACTATAGTATTAAACAGTAATCGAAGAGTGTAGCTCGAGATACCACTACTACCGTCACCATTGCAAGTGTAGTTTTAGAAAGCGTGTGCCAGCATACGGTGGGCCGGTTCTTCACCGTAGAAAGTCCATCAGGGTGCTGCGAGTTCCTGTCCGGGTCGCTTCTTCACGAGGTGTTCCACGCAACCATGATTTTCCTCATCGGCCTCATCGTCATCGTGATTGGCACCACCATTGCGGTGGTAAGATCGGAGAAGCCCATCAAGCATATCTTCGCCGAAGCCAAATTTGAAATGATCTACAATTACATAGGATCTCGATCGATTTTCGAGGATTTCATTATGCGCGGCCGAAATAAAACAAGTGAGTTTCTTTTTTTGTGGATCCATCTACCTGCTTATTTTTAGGTAACCAAATACGCATTTCGGCAATCTATTTACCATTTAGTGTCTCTACTCGAATTGAAATGTTTTTAAGTTACATTCATTGGCAATCCTTAAAAATAGACTGCTTGCTAAGATATTGCTCATTGCAAATACGTTGCGCCAAAACTAATTGCAATGCACAATACGTATTTACAATACTTTAACAATACACTTATGCAACGATTCACGACAATGTTTAATTGTCGTAATATATCAATTAAAGTAGTATTACACAATGCAGTATATTTAAAAACAATTAACATTTTTGCTGAAGTAATTGATAATAAATTTGATAATTATAATTACAGTCCTAAGATGTTGAAACCCTGATTTTAATATGTATTAATCAAGAAAAAAGTTGTTTTACTAGATTTCTTTCGTACAAGAAAAAGTTGCTTAAGTTTCATAATATATTTTTTTATAAAATTCGTAATTTGATGTTTAAAGAAAAACTTAGTAATATATAATAATTTAAAATTCAATAGTCATGAATGCGGATGATTATAAAAAATATGCAATGTTCACCAGATATTTCAGATAGTAAACAAGGTTAATAAATATATAAAGGAATATACAGGTTTTAAATGATATGAGTGGTTATATTGATCTCATAGCATGTGAAGGTCAACGATATTAGTAATTGTTTGTAGAGCATCTTCGCTGCTTTATCATATTTTAATACAAATACCAGGAATAGATTTTTAATTCATTGTTGATTTGGAATAGTAGAATGTAATACTATTACAATTAAAATATCTTGATAAAAAATAAAGTACAAAAGAAGAACATATTTATTTGATTTCTGTGAGAAATGTGCTGTAAAATGAATTTGGTATAAAAAAAATCTTAAGATCATTCACTTTCCAATGTACATATGTAACTCGTGTTTGTTATTTACAAACGTATATATTACATGGTTGTAAATCTTTTTATAAATTATAATTAATTAACGGTGTAGGATCTTCAACTTGTTAATTGAATTTATAAAATACAAATATATAGACGATAATCAACTTGTTTTTAAAAATGTTTATAAATTGAAACTAATTTCACTAACCTTGAATTAAATAATTTGTTTTCATCGAGTAAAAGTAAAAATCTAAAATAGAAAGAATCATATTAAAGCTATATTTTAATTTTTTTATTTTCAAAAAAACAAATATCTTCTTAACAAAAAACTCTATTTAGGAAAACAGTCAATACACTGCATGTTTTCCGGTTTAACCTTTTACAAGAACATTCTCATCCAAAGCGCTTCCGTGAATTTCACTTAGAATTGCAAAACCGTTCCACATTATACTAAGTGGTAACATTAATTTTAATTTAACATCCGCAAAATAATGATTACCACCATAGTTGGCTTCCAGTTTTTATTAGCAAAATGTTTGAAAAGATGGAACTAATAACTTAATACGACATGTCCAATATCTCACTTATCTAGTTTCACTCGTAATATTGTCATAGATTCAAGTCATTTCTTGTATTCCGTTCATTGCTAAGTCTATTTTTTTTAAATATCAATATAAAATAGATTTTGTTATGTTACCATTGCCAGGGGCGAACCTTTAACTGAAGAGGTTCTAAAACTGATTGGGAGGACCTGCGAGGGGTTTTAGATTGTCCTATAATTACCAATAAGTAAATGATGACAGGGAAGAATTCTGATACAAATATTTCTTCGTGTACAAGTTAATAATGACGCGGAGGAAGGGATGTGTGCTGCCTAAAAATTCTAGAAATCAATAAGCCTAATATAATTTGGGGGCCCTGTAATTGGAAAGGGTCGTAGGCTGCAGTCCATAAAGACCATTAGTATATTTTTTTTAAATTTATGTATTATTAAAAATCTGTTGCTTATTTATTTAAATTATATATGATAGAAGAATGATGTAAGTGTAGCGATTATGTAAATGTGACTTAATATATTATCAATAAGATATTGATATGAGATATTAGAATTATTTATTTTTTATGTTTCAGAATTGGAGAAGAAATCTGGGAAGGTCGTATTGATCACAGGTGGAACGAGGGGCATCGGAACAGAAGTCATAAAGATGTTAATGCAGTGCGATATGCACGTAGTCATGGGTAAAAATAATATACTAATTAATCTAATGGACTTAATTAAATGTCAGTCACCTGACTAAAACAATAATCCACGTGAATTGATTGCACAACCATCACGCATTATTTTGAGAAAAATTTCACTCTCATCGCAAAAAATAATTTCGACACAACTTTTTCTTTTGCTCTTTCGTTGTGTAACGTTGCGAAATTGATGAATAATATTAAGTTTCGCGAATTGTGTTTTCCATTTTATATGAAATTCATCGAGAATATTTTTTGTCATCAAAATAATATAATTAAATTATTTATTACGCATTTGCATACATGATTTATGGATAAATTTACTTTTTATTTGATCATATAATTATTATTTTTCCATAATTTTCATCAGTAAATAGAAATTTAATAATCATATCAATCAATTTATAATAATTAATAACAAATTACGTAGTTCTATGTAGCATTAGAAAACATTTACTTATCTTTCTAGGTTGCAGAAGTGTGGAAAGCGGCGAAAAGGTGTTAAAGGAAATAAGAGAGGATGTTAAATTGGGCGAATTGAAAATATTCCAGCTGGATATTAGCTCTTTGAAGAGTGTTCGAAATTTCGCTGATAAAATTACCTCCGTTTACACTCAAATTGATTGCTTGGTGAATAATGGTATGTGCAACAATGTGTATCATTGTGTCGTTAATAAAAACTTTTTTTGTAGCTGGTATTATGTATGTACCATATGCTGAAAGCGAGGAAGGATACGAATCTCAATTCGCTACCAACTATTTAGGTCACTTTCTTCTGACTCACTTGCTCTTAGGTTTGGTGAAAAAAGCCGGAAGGGACGGTGAAAATGCTAGAGTAGTTAACGTCGTTTCCTGCGCCTACCTCACAGGTGATATCGATTTCGAGGATATCAACAAAAAGTAATTGCAGTAATTCAGTGAAATCTACTGAGACTAATTTGATGTCTTTGCAGGAACATGTTCATTCCTTTTGAAGCGTATTCACAGTCGAAATTAGCACAAGTTCTTTTTACCAATTACCTCAATGAAACGCTAAAAGAGAAAGGAAACTATGTTCAAGTGCATAGTGTGCATCCAGGCATTGTTAATACAGACTTATTCGATGGAACATACGTGAAAACGTTCTTCTGGTGGATTCTTCCCTACATTTTCAAAGTAATTAACAGAGCGGTAATGATTTGATTTACTTAATATTCGTTTATATTTCAGAGCCCCAAACGAGGAGCACAAAGTATAGTTCACGCTTGCCTTTCGTCCGATCTCGAGGGAAAAGGAGCCACTTACATAAGCAATTGCACGGTGAAGCCGCAAATCGAAAAGGCCCTAGATAAAGAATTGCAGAAAAAGCTCTTCGACTTCACAAAAAAACTGGTGAACGTAGAGAACTTCGGTACTTGAGACTAAGAACAACATAGTATATAAATTATATATTACTCTTTATTAATTAATTATTTAAGTACATTGTTATTTCTTTGGTAGCAGTTTTTTTTATTTAATTTAAAATTAATAACATGAATATATAAATATTTTATAAATATTTAAAAGAAATGAAAACAAACAGACATCAGTTTTAAAAAAAAACATTGTTAGTAATTATAACAAAAAAACACCTACACCTTTATTTCTGTGCAAAATTTAAGTACATCCTGTGCATTAAAATAGAATACCATCAATAAAATGCAACCTTCTCACCGAAATCTTGTTGTTTCAATTGCAAAATATTTGAATCTTAAATGGAATGTCTTTGAAAATCACAGCATTTATATCTCTTATAACATAACACGATTAATGAAAAGCTTTCAATACTTTAGATATATTTGATATACAATATATGGAGTATTTACTTGTACAACCGACAAAAAGAAACAATTAAGTACTAATTTAATTAAAGCAAATTTATTGCGTTTGGCAAATATTGCTAATGTGAGAGCGCGCAAATTAAATTGAATTAAATCAAAGTGAGAAATGAATAGTTCGGAAGCCACCTGAACCAAACATTGAATGTGGCAATAAAACCTGAGTATCAATCAATTACTGGAAGTGATGATTATAATAATATGATGATATTGATGATTGATATTTAGGCCAGTTTACTACAGCAATTACTGTCACTAATTGATGATGTTTTTCCCTCAATACGAGTTGTATTGCTGTCGTAGCGTAGTAAATCTTTACTTCGGGCCTGCTAATTGGACGAAATATAAAAAAATATTAAATATGCAAAGAAACTGAAAAAATAATTATTTAAGTACCTCCATTAAATCCTGGGCTATTTGCATGAACAACTTCTCCACATTCTCAGCTTCTTTTGCTGAAGTTTCTAAGAAATACATATTATGTTGTTGGGCAAAGTCTTCACCCACATGTCTAGGTATTTCTCTGTCCTCACGATCAATCTTATTACCTGAAATGCTAATTAGTTATATTCTAATAAGAACACCTAAGGATTTTGCACTAACCAACTAAAATACGCAATACTTTGCTACTGGCATATTCTTCAATTTCTCTAAGCCAATCTGGTAAACAGTCAAATGTTGGTTGGCAAGATATGTCATATACTAAAATTAATGCATGCGCTGATCTGTAATAACTTTGAGTTATAGATCGAAATCTCTCCTGTCCAGCAGTGTCCCATATTTGTAACTGCAAGTCACATTGTCAAATAAAATGAGTACAAAACAATTTCACAAGTGGATCAAATCAAAAACATATTGTGCAAGATTACCTTCACTCTTTCATTATCCACTTCAACTGTTTTTATCATAAAGTCTACCCCGATTGTTGCACCTTGGCCAGGTGGAAATAATCCTTGAGTGAAGCGTCTGACAAGACATGTCTTTCCAACACCTGCATTTCCAACCAGTACTACTTTGAAAAGGAACTTATAGTCCTCCATGTCCGAAATTCGTAAATTTTAACACTGATTTTCACTCAATATTATTAATAATACTAAAAATTACATTTTATGTAGTCACTGCGCCTAAAACACACAAACCATATTAAATGAGATACTGTAGGTACGAATAAAAAAAAAGAAAGCAACCAGAATACATAAAAATTACGTCACTATTTTCGCAACTTTCTTTTGCACCTGTGTAATTTCAATTCCTTAATGTAATCAGGATCAGCAATTCGAGTAATTGGAGTTAACTGCGATCTCTTTCTACGTTTTATTACAATTCATTCACTGTTACCGCGTTATTTCTATGATTACAACTATTTACTACTGTTACAATTGTTCCAAAGCAATGTCATTTTTGACTATGACGCTCCCTACGATTGTTTTTGTGCATTCAGGTGATTATGTTACACTATGTCAAACACGAAACTTAAGTAAACGCATTGAAGTTAGGCTTGTTCTGCGTTGGAAGACCATTCTATAAATTGGTCTAAACATATTGTTTTTTTATAAAATTCTATTAAGTAATGATAACAACAACAAATCATTATGTTTATTTATTCACTACTATAACATTAAGAAATGCAAAACAATAATTAACTCTATTATTATGCAATAGTTATGTTGAACGTAGGCAACTTAACTAACATAATATTTCAAACTATAAATTTAAGCTCAAACATATACGTAGTTTCGCAGTATTACTTTATTATGTTACTAATTTAATGGATTGATCCAGATATTATTGATGAATCGAAGTAATCAATTTCTAAATTTGCTCTTTATACTATTTATTAAAATTATTATTTTTATCTTTTCTATCATATTTAGTTGTTAAATGTCTGTGGCCTCAAACTGACTGAATACATTTATTTAGATTTAGATACCTTAATTTAAACCAAAGATTGTTGTGTCAAGATTGTTTAATTTGCAATGCATGTTCTAATAAAAATAAATTGGAAACTAATCAATATTTTATTAAAATATACAAAACAAGCTTTTGACGTTAGTTTTCCTTCCAATATTACAGAACTATTTAAAAAAATGGAATATTTAGTAATAATCTTATTTTGTATAAGTATAGAGTAGAACAATTAAATGAAATTTATGTTGAAGTTTTCCAAGACAGCTTAACCATGAGACAAGACTTTATAAGGCCTGTTGAATTGAATATAGCAGTTATGAAAAGTCAAGGATCTGAAAGTCCAGTTCTGACAATTTACTTTTGGATTTTATCTTTGAAGCAATACTTAATTAAATCAATTCATTTTAATAAGTAAAGACTTATAGATTTCCCAAGGAGCAACTTAAACGTAAAATAAAATTTAAATAATTTTATTTATTATTTGCTTCTCTAAACTTCAAAGCAGTAAGAATCGTGTCAATATTTTGCTATCAAATTTGTCGTAACTAATTACAACTGTTTTTATACAATTTAGTCTAATTAAAGATGAAAATACAGGTAGACCAGAAATTTTTTCGATAATTCAATTTGAAATCATACAATATTTCGGAATGTTTTACTTGAGAAATATCTAAAAAAAAACACAATTGATAATAAACATATTGTTTATAAATTATAATTGGTTTGAAGCAAATAAATAAATCAATAAATTTAAATTAATATATTTCATTTTATTTTGTAAGCCATCAATTAATATTACACAAGTCAATAAAGTGTACATAAAAAATCATACATTTTTTTGTTATATAAATTATATATATACAAATAAACTAACATATTTTATCAAGTTTTTTTATTAAAAAAATATAACAACTTACAACGCAATGATAATATTAATAATAAGGCAGCAAGTGGAAATTATATTGCTGCCAGCGTTTTGAATCTTCAATCGATCATATATATTACTTATATACATTTTTTTTTTACTATTTACAATATATATACTTTTTTTTATATAAAACAGATCACATAATAGAGCAAAGGCCAGTCAATTCCGAACCTTTTTTTACCATTGGCATTTTTTTCAACTCGATACCTTGTAGTGCGGGCTTCAGATGCAATTGCACAGGCTCTTCACCCGGTGGTAAAGGTTGGGTAGGATCAATGGGTTCTATATTATTATCAACATCAACAGATATATCTTTATTTTCTTTTGGGGCAATTACAGGTAATGGTTTCGAGATATTAATTTTTATTTTACCACTTATACCGCAACTTGGCGCAACCATCCCCGTATTTATATCAACATTACCATCAATTGCTGCTATTAAATCCGCTGGCCGTGTATCAGGTCGCTCCAAATCATCGACTTCAACGACTTCAGTTATGTGGCCAATATCTTCAAATGATTCGTCTATGAACGTGACAAATTAAAACAAATGGTTATATTTTTTTGGATACACTCATATTACTGTTAATACACTTTACCTGGTGTTACTGGCTCCTTTTTAATTTTAATTTCTCCCAATTTAAAATTCTCCACGTCCATAAAACCGTCATCTACTGGTTCTTGTTTCACAGTCACACCAGGAATCAAACAGCTATCATCTAATTGGCTGTCTTTGAATTCGTATTCATCTAAAATGATACGTTCTGGTTGCACTTCGTGTATTATCACATCATCGTCCTCATCATTTTCTGTCCTTTCTTCATTGTCATCAGTAATCATACTTTCAGGATTTTCGATAGCATTTTCAGTTGTTTCTGCTTCAGTCATCTCTTGATCATCCCCATCACTTTTTGGTGTATGTACACTTATAACGCTAATCTCACAATCATCTATTAAAATTTCTTGCACATCCTCATCCTTCGTCTCGTCCAAACCCACCTCCAATCCTGGTATAGAAGTTTTCGATTTGCTAATTCCTAATATTTCTGGTTCCTTTACCTCAGGGACAGTTGCATTCAACGTTTCGTCAAACGTCGTTTCAACTAATGATGCCTAAGAAGAAATAAAATTCACATTTATATTATGCAACATTCAGAAGTTATAAATATCACTAAACAGTTACACAATGCTAGCAAAAAATAAAACTTACCTGATAGTCTTCATAACAAAGGGGGTGATATGTTTGTTCATCAATCCTGATTGCCATTCGTAGATGCCACTCTTCTTTCTCTTCATTGTAAAATTGTTCAAACTTCTCTTGACAAACTTCACAATGAGCTTCAGGAATATTGGAATCTGCGGGAACGCTCGGTATTTCAATTTCTTCTTCGCCTTCGTCATTTGCACCATCTCCTTGTTCTTGGTTTTCAAAATAGCATTTTTCTAAACAATGTGTTTTTATTAATACAATTTTAAATTATACCTATATTTATTTATGAATGATACAAAAATTTATGCAATATGAGCAAAGAATAGTATGATCACTAACCTCGTTCTTCTAAATCCTCAATTTCTTCGTAATTATTCCAGTCGGAAATAGCGTAGTACCACCTTCTGCTAGTGGCTTTGCGTATACTTTTCTTCCCTTTTCTATTCTGCCTAAAGTGCCAGTCCAAATGTTGACTATAGAGAACACTATTTTCTGGAGGAAAACGCATACCACAGCTGCTACACTGCATTCCAGAATATAACGAGTATATGACTGCTGGCTGTTTGCTGTAAAAGACAATTAAAACTGTAAAATATATTCGATTGCTAGCCTATAAACGACTTACATTTTTAAAGTGTTTGGTTTTCCAAAATCAATAGGTTTGATTATTGGGGCCACATATTCTTTCTTAGGTTTGGGTTCTTGTTTTTCTACAGCAATTTCTGATTGTTGAGAAACAGTTTGTCCGGATTGTGTGTCATTTGGTAAATTGTTAGACGTCACAATGCCAGCACTAACTAGCTTTAGGAATAAATCATTTATATTCAACGACGGTGGCAGTGTAACGGATGGTGCCGATTCTGCTGGAAGCTTAACATCTGGTTCTTGAACTGCCATCTCAGTTGCATCCGTCTGATAAGTAGTTTGATTTGATGATGTTACTGATGTTGAAGCAGCAAATGCATTTGATAATAATGAATCTATATTACCTGTAAAGATAAAATAATATTTTAGTCAATGATGATTAAAGGTTTAATGAAAACTTACTAAATGTAGGTTGTTGAAGTAGATTGCTAATAACAGTATTTGGAGAACTAGAAGTTCTATCTGGTGAGTCATCACTAAAACGTGATTTCTTTTTAGTTGATGTAACGATCGGCAATAGTTTTGTAACTGTGTCTGCTATAACATCATTACTATCCTGGCTATTTTCATTATCACTAAGTATTGGCTTACAACCTTCCATATCCTTAATGAAAACATGTCCTGGTCTAAGGCCTTTCGGCAGCTTGGAAAACCGCACAAAATGCTTCTTTTCATTGACGGTAATGGGCTTAGGTAAGCCTCCAAACTCAACTTTAAACGCAACATCGTTGATTAACACAGTTTTTAATGCATCCGTAAACTTCAATGTATGCATCATATTGTCTATATTAAATTTTTGTGTGCGTGAATCTAAATAAATGGGAACGATGGTTTTGGCATCGATGATAAGGTTTATTTTCCCTGCTACCAAATCAGTTCTACGGACTGTGCCTATTTTAACTTGTGGTGGTGGTCCTTCAATTTTCACTACAGTCAGTTTACCATTTAAATCAATTGTCACACCGGGACCACCAAAAAAGCATTCGTAGCCATTGCCGTCAATGTAAATCTCACGAGTCGGTGCACCCAAACGAACTTTATAAGTAGATTCGCCAATATTCACTTCTTGATATTTTTCATTAAACGATAATGTGTAAGTCATATTATCATCAAATGTTACACGACGTGTACCAGCTTGAAATGAGATTTCGTATGGATCTTCCCACGTCATAAAAGCAATTGCGGTTTCGTCGTAAAAGATAATATCTCTAGGTTCACCATCAATATTAATACTCTTGGTATTGTCTTGATTGGCACAATTAACAACCATATCCAACGTTGAGGGAGATTGACTTCTTTGGTCTATTAAATCAGAAACTGGCATCATTTTCTCCTCATCGAATATATTTCCATGGAATGGTTGTCGCCATTGCGGGTTAGGATTTAAAGGCCGAATCCATGGTTCGATTCCAGGTCTTGGTACTCGAATAGGTCCTCTTGGTCCAGGGAATCCGCGCCTATTACCTCGCCAAGGTCCTCCAAGTCCAGAGCCCATTCCTCGTCTATTTCTACCTTCTTGATTGCGGAACTCTTCCCCTGAATGCACAGGCTGGTGTTTATTGACATTTCTTTGCTCGACAAATTCAGTATTTTCAACGTCCATTTCTTCGTCGCTCGTAGTGTTATTATTTTGGGATGGAGGTAAAGTTCCATCATTATTTTCATTGTCTTTCCGTTTGGCTTCCTTTAACTTTTGATTTTCAATTTGAGCTATGATTTTATTCATCAAAGCACTTTCTTGCGCTTTTGTCATATTTCCAGTCATAATACATTCTTCATCAGCTTGCGAAATTATTATTTTATTCAATGATTCATCCAATACCAGCTTTTCTTTATTATCTTGTTGCTTCTTCTGTTCTGCTATATAAATAATGTGTAATCATTTTCAGATCATTTTCGTAATAATAAAAATACACTTACCATGTAAATTAAACCTGGACTTGTTGAATTTATCAATATTAGTAGCGTTTGCCAATTTAGCTCTAACCAATTCTAATGCTGGTTTAGTAGCTAAATCGCACTTCGGTGAACTCTCGTTTCCGGCACTATCCTGTTTCGGCGAGGAACTGGAGATGATTGGCGGAGGTGGTGTCGGCGGTCTTTCCGTGCTCTTCGTTGATTTGCTGCTAACAGGGAATTGCCTCAAGTCAACATCTTCATTTCCAAATAATCTGCAACAAAATAATTGATGCACTATTTGAAAGATATTTAAACTATTTTAACTTACACGTCGAACATCTCCGTTTTGTTCTTCTTGAGAGTTGGCGGTTCTGGCGCATCCATCGACGTTCGTTTTTTACTTGCTGGAATTTGTCTCAAATCAATATCCACATTTTGTTCATCATCTAGAAGTTTTAAATTAGAAGAAAACAATAACGTTGAGGACGTATTTAGCAAGATTCTAATTTAGAAATACCCAGACTGAAGACGAAGTTACATATTCTGTTTAGTTTAAGATACACTTACTTGATTTCTCAATGATTTCATCGTGTAATCGTGACTGCTTCTCTGGAGGTCCGTTCATCCTCAAATCTACATCTCGCATCTCATCTAGATCGGGGCTGATGCGATTACGTCTCATGTAATTGCGATTCTTCAAACCCTTAATATCTTTAAATGTTCCACCATTTGAATCTTTATTCGGCGATATTTTTTCAGCTTTGCTGATAATCTTTCCTTTCTTGTCAGTACGAGATTGGCCTTTCTTGTATTTTATAGTCGGCGACTTTGATGAGGAGCGAACCAACGAAGTTTTTTTTGTGGGCGAGTCTAGAGAACTTGTGGAGCCAGAGCCAGAAGATGACGATTTAGAACTACGAGAGGATTTTGATTTGGGAGAAGTGGAACGCTTAGACTTTAATGGGATACGGGACAGAGTTTTAGCAGCTTTTTGGGGGGCTTCATCTTTATTATTTACAAAACGAGCATCGGTTCTTTCAACTCTGTTGCTCATTTTATTACTAACAATTTTATTATCTAGACTGTTTGTGGTATTAGATTTATTCTCTAATTGCACAATAGTATTTACAGTATTTTGCAGCCCAATCGTTGTTGGGCCAGGCACCTGTTGACGAAGTAAACGAGGATCTCGATTTGGTCGCGAACCTCCTATCAAAGAGCCACCTGACGTTTTTGGTACTCCAATATTTGTATTACTATTTATTATAGCCTACAAAAACGTAATGATTTAATATCATATTATGTTGAATAATAATAACAAAACAATTGTTAAATGAAAACAACTTACATTATTCTTTACTTCTATTGCCGGCTCTTCTTCCAATTGTTTCGCTACTTCTGGCTTTAACAATAAATTCTGAAAATATGCAATGAATTTTAGATTTGATCAAATTATCAAATTAAAAGTGGAGAATTACCTTGGCAGTAGCAGGTGCAATATCTTCACCTACTATTGTCGATTTTTTCAATTGTTCCTCTTTCATTTTAACTTGTGTCTGTAGCAGTTCTAATTCTAATTTCTTTTGTTGTAATTCCAACAACTGCTTCTGTTTGCTTAATATCTTTTGTTGCATTTCCAACGTTGTAGGATCGGTGGCAGTTGACACGATGTTGTTAATAGCCGGTTTCGGCGCTTCTTTAGTTGCCTGAAATATAAATGTATTAGATCATATTCAGTTGCTAAATTAGAAGATCTGAAACTGCTTACATTGGGTTTAAAAAATTTTGGATTAAAGTGTATGTTTGGTGGAGGAGCTGTGATTGGCCAAGCAGGATCCACTTGCTTTGTCTGAACATCTAATGCATACAATTTACTTTTTGGAAGTACGTCGTTCCAAGTTTGCCTCAACTTGTACATTTCTGTTCGCGTCTTCTCGTCGACCTAATAATTTAAAACATAATATTACACGTTTCGCACATAAAAATTAGTAACAATAAAGACACAATAATTCCTACGTCGATGTGTATCTTACAAAATTTCAAACACAATGATTTGGGTCCTTGTTACTTACTTGTTGAAATACACTGCAGAACAGTTGCACAATGTTATTGCAGAATGCAGGTGTGTAGGGTCCTCCAACGTTCTTGATTATACAATCGATAAGATACAGAACAGGCAATTTCACCTCAGTACGAACCTAATAAGACACAGATTAAGCACTTATCTTCAATGTATCCAATATCACACTTAAAAACTAAGTCACTGTTATACTTTCCATTTTTTTTGCATTACTTTCATAATGAAATGCAAAATAAATACTTTGCATCCTCTTCTATGTTGTCTCGTATATATAAAAAAAATCACGAAATCGCTCACTTCTCTAATTATAATTTTAAGCTCACTATTGAAAAATCCCGAATTAAATAAATCACTATTTAATAATTTACTTATATCTCACTTAATAAGTTGTCTTTGAACAGAACAAAAAAACTTCGTGATGATAAAGTAAAAGCGTAATTATGCAATCACTTGTTCAGAATTTTTTAATGTATACTTGTTGTTTTAAAATAATATTCAATATTTCTTTTAAGTCATTTCTAAACCTGATAACGAAATATCCGCGGTTTCGTGTTCTACTTTAAGCGAGGTATAAGAGTTATAAAACAACAAGCAAATGACCTTAAAATGATAAACGTTTAAAAAATAAGTAAAACGTTCATGCACTTTTAAAATATATAAATAAATAATTTCTATTTCCTTTGTATAATTTATTCACATATATCACAAGTTGTATCAAACGGGAATAAAATAATAAAGGTGAATAAGTTGAATGTGTTTATGTTAAAATTGCTTAAGAAAGTTGTATGCTTTTCTTTTATGGTATTATATAGTTGCTTTTTTTGTATATAATGGAAAAGTAAGCTAAAAAGGACCTAAACAAAATAAATTAAGTTGATAATAACCTTAGCCAGATGTTCTTCAATTGCTTCAACAATAACTTTAGCATGGGCCACATTCTCCTCCGCCAGCATAGTCAGCACACTGATTAGTGGCTTACTGTTACAGTTTAAATCCTGCAAAGTGGATGTGTACCCATCCTTGATCTCCTTGCTCGGTGCCATATCCTTGAAAGACAGTCACAGAAATGTCTTCTAAACTGACTGAAAACAAATGAGCAAAAACAAAATCATGAGCTGTGACAGTTTTTACAGATCACCAAAACTTTCTCAAAATCAATAATCATTGGTGAAAACGTTCCAAGTTTGACGTTTTTAGTTTTTTTTTTAATTAAACGGCTGTTAATATATATTATAAGGATAAATAATGTATAATTGCTAATTCTGTTATCAATGAAGTATCTTTTGATATCTGTAATTTTCATAACAAGTCATGGCAGAAAACTGGTTAATAAACAATACCGTTTTTTCTTTCAAGGCAACAAGTAAATATAGATTGTGGACATTGATCCATATGCTATTAGTAACATTTTCCGTGTTCTAAGATCATACATAAAGCATAATCGAGAAGTTTGTTCAATAACGCATTCATGCATCAGAGATCAAAGTTGACAAAGTTGACATTTAGAAATAGTCACAAGGCGCCACCAATCATCGCCTGATAACGAACGATACAATACATTGGATATATTTTCTACGTTATATATGTATGTAGCACGATGCTCTTACCTTACAGATGTGTGTTCATAGCTCCATTTCAACAGCGATTCTACTGTTGCAAATGCACTACACTTTAACACCGAAAGCACAAATGTATCACCAACCCGAATAACGATCACTGTGTGTTATTGATTTGATATTGTTCACAAACTAAACCACACTAAACAAAGCAAAATGGCGATCCGTCACTTCAAACAACTTATTCGGTAGAGATTTCTACTTGAAGTGAGCAGTGGAAGTGAGGAGCGTACTTTTTTTTTTCCAACGGATAACGTCAGATTGAGCATGCGCATTTTGCTCCAAAAGATCAACAATGTTGCCACGTTTATTTTAATCACAGCATACAAATAAAATCTACCTGCAAATATTGTCGTTCACAACAGATCGCAGTCATCGCAATACCAAGAATGGCAAGAAGTGGAGGGGACAGAGTGTGACTACACGTTATCTCAATGTCTCTTTTTGGTTTGCATGTATTGATTTTGGTTTTATTTTGGAAATACATCTCAATAATTTATAGACGTATTTATTTTATTATCCACTCTAGTGCCCTAGGTCCGAGAAAATGTTAGGTTAGGTGAAGTTGCCCTAAAGTTTTATGTTTAAAAATATATACAAACAATTTTGTTATATGGGTATTTTCATATCCAGTGGTCTAGGTCAAGTTTCTGTTAGAGTTTTTTTTTTTAAATAACATAAAAACAATTTGGTGATATGGATATTTCAGATATTAAACTACAAATTGTTGGAGGCAACGTCTAGTTAATTTCTTTATGGTTTGCGAAAAATGAATTTTTAATTGTGTGTTCAAAAATTATATTATTTTGTAGTATAATCTCTTTGTAGCTCAATACATCTAGTCCAACGTTTTTCTAATAATTCTATACCATGTTTATAATTATTTGTATTAAGGCTTGAATTGCTTCTTGACCATTAGCTCCATAAATTTAGCGAATATGTTGAATTTTCAAGCAATTCATACTTTAATTCGTTGATTTTTGCCATGGTTAAAACACATTTGTCAGCTGGCGTGTTGTCTTGGTGATTGATTTTTTTTTATTTTAACATATTTATTGATCAAACATTGACCAAAGGGCTAATTATTTTATTTTTCTGTAAACTCTGTCTTTTTTCACTAATTTTTCTATCCAATTGATACAACAGACTTGTATAATATTCTGAGTTGATTATTTTATTTTTCTCACGATAATCTATTAACAATGCTTTTGCAATTGTTAGCAAATGCGGCACCTATATTGCATATATCATGGACTTTTTGAAAGTTTTCTGCAGATGTTGCAGTTTTTGGAGGCAATTACGTGGGTCATTTTCAATGCTTGTACGTCCACCTTTAAAATAACCCACCATTTCCAGAAAATGTGCATACACGTTAACATAAAAAATCTATTGTTGATGTACTTAATATTGAAATATCAGGGAGGATATAGATTTAAGAAATACAACTACAAAACAATATGCAAGACAAAAATAATTTATAATTCGTTAAAATAATAATAAAATTTATTGCAACAAATCACCATACTACAAACTCAACAAAATAACATAATAAGAAAATAAAAATAAATTGACCATAGGTCTTTCTGGCCTTTAAAATAATTGTATAACATATTTCAAACACATTTTAACCTTAATATTCAAGTGTATCATATTTATGTTTATTATATTTAACTTTTACCTATATACTTTGGAAAATGCATACTTTTACCGATAAAAGTAGATACATGAAGCTGATCTCAGATTTAAACTCACTTTTACCGTAACATATACAAAATACATATACATACAAAAAAGACTATTATAATATAAATAAAAAAGGAACAAATATAAAAAAAATACATTTTGTAAAATATTTTTAATTTAGTTCAATTTATCTATTTCATACTAACATATATAAGATATCAAATAGGAGCTCTTAAGGCAATAAATATAAGTAATACAATAAACTAATTACCATATTTAATTACCGTAGATACCAAGATTATCACGTTTTAACGAAAAAATAAATATATCTAAAAAACAACATTCAATGAAAACATGCTAATAGTTTCTGCCGAACAAGTCAAAGGATTAGTTATTCTTTAATCACTATTTTGAATTGAGCAGTGAAAATGCTGATAATACAATCTACAAACCGTTTTGTAGAAGTATACAAGTATGTATGTACATTATTATTTTGTACCTGCAAGAGTACTCAAACGAAAACAGTTATTATCACTGACATGAAATAGACGATTACATGATTAATGCGAAACAAACAATAATGACACGAATCATTGCAATATGTAACGTTCGTTATGAATACAACCTTACATTTTTTGCAGTGAAATTTAGAAACACTAGTGAAATTTGGAAACCTACTTAAAATTTATCAGTATTTCTGACTTGGTTCACTATCGAATGATAAACATAATATATTCTGCAAATTAAAATTCATTAACTTGATAAATAATTACTTTTTGCCCTTGATGTGTTTCTCTGGTTGTAATTTAACATTATTTACAATATTTCATTTCTAAAACACTTCTAACTTTATTAACACTAATATTCTTATACAGATAAGATATTTTAATAAGTGAAACTAAATATATATTGAAAAATTCTCCAATAAAAATGTTTTAAAAAAATAATTACTTTTATTAATAAAGGAAAATGTAATTTATTCGTTGAATTATAAAATTATATACAATGCATACAACTGGATCTTATGAGCATCCAACGGCTATGAAAAATCCACCGGCAAAACTACTTGTGAAAGATACATTCGTCTTTGTAAAATGCAGTAATCTGGTCATAAACTTTGAGTTTTTTTTTTGCAGAGTACCTTCAGCATTGCCAATAAATTTGTCCAATTTGTTGTTAATTCTATTCCAGTTAATTTTAATGAAATTCGACTCTTTCGCCAACTGCATCAATAAAATTCCTCCGCCGATGACCAAAGCAACTATTTTACCAATTTTCATCGATATAAAACCGATCATCATGCCCGACGATGATCCTACCAAAAGTTGATTGGATGGTGATGATTCGCCAACGTGCTTAGCTATTTTATCAATGATCGATTCATCCTTGCGACTCATTTCTTCACAATTCTTGAGTTTCTTCGTAGTTGGATTGGACAAAACGTAATTTTTGACAGTTTTTTCTCCAGCTGTTGACATCATTTGTTTCATAGAAAATAATTTAAAAAAAGACGAACATCGTCATTAAAATGAAACTAGTAGAAAGGAGAGGAATTGCTTGACGGGTTAATGCTTTTTGATCGATAGTTACTTTGCACAGAACACTCGTAACAAATTTTAAAAATAATTTTGTTATTTTTGACACTTTCAATTTTGTTTACTGTAATCAACAATAATGTATTGAAATAAAAATATGCATTCCTGTTTCAGAAAATCAATGCTCATTTTAAAATGATATATATATTATCATTTTAATAATAAGTTCACTTTCCTGTAAACAGGAAATGAGTTTGAACCACAAGCCTGATGAGGTTAACATAATTATACGTACTTATATAATTCAATGCGTTTTTTTTGTGTAATCATTTGTATATTTAAGTTGAAAGTTCAAAATAATAAGTGATTAAAACCTTTTTTGCATATCTCATAAGCGCAATCTAATAACGATTGCAATTATTTTATCTTTTTATTTGTGAATAATACTATATATATTATTCGTGTTTAATACGAATTCCTCGTAGGTGATCTGCGATTCCTTGTGTCCGATGCATCCAATCTGAAAAGTATACATTTATTAATTATGATTCAATTATATCAATTCAATCAGTAGATTAATTACCTCTCAGTCCATAAACTTCTTCCTTATTAATATTGTTGATGATAGTTTCAGCGCAAGTATTTAGTCATAGATTTAATATGCTTTCTTGCTTATTCTAATAAATTTTGTTGCAACTTATCTTCTTTATCAATAATTTCACTTACATTCGTAAATACCTCTTAATTTCTAAAACTTCTTCCTGTAAATTATTGATGAAATCGTCTGTGTGTGCGAATTTATTAAATTTGCAAACAATTTTCTCGCTCAAATATTGTTTCAGCTATTTATGGAGATCATTTCTCTTTGGTATAACGTAAGATGTGAATAAGATGTGGGAGCAGAAGAACTCCGAGCATTATGTTCTAAAATATTTTATATTTTTCGCCTCCAATTCAAGGATTGATAATACTTCCCTTGCGTAGATATTTGTATTGCAAATATCACAATTATTTTTAACAACAAATTTTTCTATTTTCTTTAAAATATCTACAGACAGATTGGAAAAAAATATACTGTCGAGAGGTTCATTATTAATATATTTAATAGGCAATTATTGCATACATTTAAAAATAGATTTAAGTTTCCAATTACATATTCACAACAATCTGTCTTGAAATTTGTGCCTGCTGCATTACGTTATTAATTAATAACGTTGAAAATCTATTTATAAATGAAACACATGAAGGCGTGCTGTTTGGACCTTCCATTTACCTCAATTGGCTAAAAGAATTTTCAAGAGGATCGATTTGATTGGCAAATATTTTATATTTATTTTTTGCAACAGTGTGGAATATAGGTTAATAAAACCATTTAAAGTTGCTAAAAAAATTCGTACGACTGGTAATTACTTCATTTCTCTGATTAACAAATTTCATGCTTCTTACAACCTCATACCATAATTGCAAATGATTTAACACATTTTTTTTACATCAATTCCATTAATTTTGACTATCCCAAAATTTAAACTATCAAACACTTAATTTAAATAATTGCACAGCCCTTTGATTCCGATGTAATTCTATCATAATTTCCATAATAGCACCTATTGAATGCCTAAACTCTTGTATAGCTTTTGAGACCTTCATCTTGGGAATTTTGGTAATGATAATTTAATATTTGATAGGTATCTGTAGCATTTTCTACTCTGTTTAAATATTCCAAGTACAAATACTTTGTCGTCCCAATTATAAAATTCTCCCTTTTTCTTGCTATCAGCATTACAAATTTGTTTTTTTTTTAAATTTTGATCATTCATATTTAATTTTTACATTGTCGTAATTCTTTACATTGCTTTTTATATTTTTTTTTTATTTAATTTTTCTAAATAGCTAACTTTTTTTTGTAATTGCCTTCTGTCCTTCCCAATTAACACTCACTTTCTCTTCCACATCTTCTATATGGGAATCCAATTGGTTAACAATACTCATCGCCTCACAGTAGTATTGATCCGAATTAATAAGATTATTACCAACATTGCTGCAACTAGCAGCAACAACATTACTTTCTTCATTCTCCATTTCCATAACATTTTCCGTTAAAAATGGTATGTCGTGTTTCAAAAAGGTAACTCTGTCTCTGTAGGTTTCTTTAAAATGGAGGTTGCATACCCTTTTATTTTTTTTAATGTACTTGTAATCCTTGTTCAGTATTGAAGGGTTGCGTGTTGCAATTTTCCACTGTTCAAATTGGGGAAAACCGATGGGAGGAAATCTTCGTAGCATTATACCGTCACCCTGCTTTGTAGAACATCCTATGACGCAACAGATTTTGACCATTCTAATATAAACGTAAATTAATAGTATAATTAATATTATATCTACTAATATTACTTACTTGCTACTGTTCATCTACAATCTTCTTGAGGTAGAAAATTGGTGTAAATCTTTAACTTGGTATGTCGAAATAGGTCGAAATCTTTTTCGAAATCGAAGTTTTTTTTCAATTGTGAACAAAAAATTAAAAAAACACTACCACCAGCACTGGTAGTTTTTTTATCGCATAATAAAAATTTGAAAAATTGTCGAATGATACCGAATTTAGACGAAAATTCTTCTTCTCTCTTTCCAGAGTCATATGTCGTATACTAACCGTTTGTGATTAAAACGAAGAGTCTAGAACAGACGCATCAATTGAGATATCCTTGCTGAAAATTTTCCAATGACACATGTATTTTTGAAATATTTATAAACTTAAAAAGTCGATGTGTAATAGTAAAAAATAAATATGATTTCTGTTCCAATCTTGTTTTTCCGTAGTTTTCACACGCTCGATATAGACTCTAAAAGGTTATCGGTATGATGTAGACCAGTGATTCTCAAAGTGTGGGTCGCAGACCAAAATGTTTGAGAACCACGGATGTAGACAAAGCCAGAAGTTAAGAAACTAAAATATTGAAATATGTACTAATCAGAACTTAGATAATAGATTAATAATAAGTCATAAAACCATATAATTCATAATATTAGTGTGATTATTATTTTGGTCTATTGTTCTACATTCTTTTCCTCCTGCTTCTTCCCTCTTGGAAGAGCCTATGATACGTATTGTTCTACTTCATTTTTGTCAATCTGACAGGAGTGGTGGCAATTGCAAGCCAGACAACCGAAATCCCGTCTATCGAAATCCCGAGTGTATCAAAATCCCAACTATATCGAAATCTCAACTATGTCAAAATCCCGACTATATCGAAATCCCGACAAACTATAACTTAATAAGATTATTAATTGTTGTTATTTATTGTTAATAACATAAACTAATTTTATTATAGAATATTTCTTAATCTTAAGTTTTACAATGAATAAGTCAACGAAAAATAAAATACAATAATAATTAATATTATTTATTGTTATTTAGAATAAATAAAAACAATCAATAATCGGGCAATAGAGACATCGACCTAGGTCTTAAAAATATTTTTTTCAGTATCCGTCGTACCTTTTAAAATATAGTAGAATAATTTAAAAATGTTATTGTAGAAATTTTTATAATAAAAGACACTGTCGGGATTTCGATTGTCGGGATTATGGTAGTCGGGATTTCGATATATTTGGGATTTCGATACAGTCTGGATTATGGTAGTCGGGATTTCGATATATATTCGGAATTTCAATACACTCGGGATTTCGAACGTCGGGCTTTCAAAAGACGGTCTTTCGGTTGTCGGGCTTGCGATATAGATCCGAGTAGGAGCATGTGCACAATAAATGTATGTTTATTATTATCCATGTCATTTCATGTTATTGTGTTTTGCATAACAGGACTATTGATTCATTTTACGTCTTTAATAGTTTATTACTTTTTAACTGAATTAATATTTTCTTTAATAAACATAATAAATTAAACTTAAATACAATCAAAATTGCAATATACAGTTTCACCATTAATTGGGGAAGTTTAACGAAAATCGTATTATTTTCAAATCCTAATAACAACATTCAATGTTTTCAATAAAGTTAATTTAACTGTGTTATCTTATCAGTAGTATCCACGTTCGTAATCATAACCACAGTTATTTGCTAAAAAAAATAAATAATATTTGTCACTAGAATATACTTAATTAATTTATCTTTAAAATATTAATCTTTAATAACAGTTTAAAGATAATTATCAACTTTGTAAATGTACTGTATTATTTTATGAACTGTTACTAATTAATGTTAATAATTACAATACATAGTTAATTGTTTACAATATAAAATGAGAAAATTCTATTCATCAAATGTATCGTAGATGATTATTTTATGCTTGTGATGATAATATAGATATTTTGCTTATTAAACAAAAGTAAATGGTGTAATTATAGTGACTTTGTCATTAGTCACTATAATTCCACATCATATAATATTAAAATTCATTATTATATTCAGATTGAAGTCGTTACAAAATATATTTTGTTTATAGCGAAACAATGTTAGTTACGTATAAATAATGTTAACTTTATTAGATTCAAAAAAATAATTTAAGTTGTAGCCAATGTAACTTCACTGAACTAGAACGACGATAATCATTGCATAAAAATAATTGCATATACAATGCGCAATAGATGATGAAATATCATATAGACGAATATACATTGAAAGCAATTCGTAATATATATTATCATATTTTCTTCTTATGCATACACTTTCAAACGTGAAGTTTGAGTTAAATCGATTAGAAATAAAACACAAGAAATGCATATACTTTAAAGTATTTAATGAACTTAAAATCAAATTAAACAATTATTATTGTTGACAAATCGAGTCTATTACTAATATATACAACAAATATTCATTGTTTAGCTAATGGGACAATCTGCTTCTTCACATTTAGGCATATTATCTAAAATGATTGCAATTGCCCTAGCCATATATGTCATTGTTCCAAAACAACCACTTGGAGCGCTATCATAAAAATGTTGACAAATGTAAGCTGCACCTCCACATAACAAACCACCCATTCCAGTTGTCTCTTTATCTTCCTTATTCTTTGCACAGCAAAGAGTCGCATCTCCGTTACAATTGACCTACAAATAATTTATATTAAACTTAAACATATAGCGAACCATTCCGTCTAAGTAATACCTGATCACTTAAGAATAGTCCATTTGCATTGTGTACTAGCTGCTCGACTTGGATAATTCTACCCAAATTCGGCGTAACGTTATGTTCAGAAACTAGTGTTAGCACCATTAAAGCTTCCACAATTAACTGTCTGTATTCTGGATGTGGAATGGTGTTCAACACTGTTTCAACGGCTAAAGCAAATTTCAATTCTCCAGGTGTCATTTCTTCGGTCAAAGATCTCGGGAGAACTTTATCGGCGATATGAATACCTTGACACTAAATAAAATTGTTGTTTTTTAAGTTATAAAATAAAGTCATATTTTTTTACCTTCTCCAGTAAACCCCAAACTCGCGGATAAAAATCTATCGGTACCCTATTCAACGCTCCATCTAACCTACGCCTTCTCAGCCACTGACCTTGCTTATCGGTTTCTACAGTTTCTTCATTACTGTTTTCAGGTCCCAAACCAATATGGATTTTCTTGCTTATTTTACTAGATTTACTACTAACAATTGAAAAATTCCCTCGTCCAACTGGAAATTAACATTTTAAATAAATGTATTTCTATTTCATTTACCTGACTTACCGCTGCTGATAACAAACTCTTTACCGCTAATTATGTGGTGCAGTAAATTCTTCATTTCGAAAGGACTTAGATTCAGAAGATGTTCTGTAGCGTCTTCCCCATCGCATTTTAGGGTGCGTGAAAGTTCTGTGGCCATAACTTGAATAATTAATCCTACTCTTAGTCGTAACATTTCACAAAATAACTGAGGTTCCGTTCTAATAAACATTGCCAAATATAGTAAAAGCTCTTGGGTTAGCATAGCAGTACTATCGTCTTCACCATACGATTCATGAATGCATAAACGCAACTCAGTTTCCGGTAATGGAGCCGTTATTGTGTGCTCGTTATTAGGTGGCATCCCAATGGTGATTTGCTTCTGACGTACCAGCAAATCAGTAACTGCCTTAGCAAGATCTTCGACGCGTTTACCCAACATACCTTAAAGAAAATCGAATCAACGAAATGAATATGGTTGAAATTTATATATTTAATTACCAGCAGTATGCCTTACCAATCCCCATAACTTTTGTTGACAAGCTTTTTCATATAATCCTTTTAGTAAGTCTCTCACACAGACAACTTTCCCAAATTCCAACATTCCGGTATTATAATCTAAGCCTTTGGAATCTACCAAATATTGTAAAATGTCACCTTGCTCATCCAAAGATTCCGATTCACGTAACATTGCAAATAATTCCTCGACTTCTGTATCCGCATATTGGGTTTCCGATTGAGTTCTGTGTCTTGTTCCAATACCAGCAATTACAATAGAAGGTATATCCTTTGGTTGGTCATGACATGAATTTACTTCTGGCGAAGGAGATCTAGTGTGAATGCCTGATTGACTGCCACAAGCCAAGGTAGATCTTTGATCAATACCAAGTTTTTCAACTAAACATATCATGTAATAACTATTTTAATTTCGTATAATAATATAATACATACCATCACCAATATTAATTGATCTCGTTCGTTTGATTAAACCTTTTACAGACATTCGTCTTCTCATATTTCTTCCCCTTCTGACTGAATGATTTACCATTAAGAGTGACGCTTTGTTTGAAAAACATTTCATCAGATGTTCTTCCAAATATTGCTGCACTTCCGGATTCAACTCTATAATTGTATAAGGATTATATAAACTATAGTTTTATAAATACAATTCTTACTATCCGGCATTCCCTCTTCGTGGCAACCCAGAAAACTTAAGTTTGTTAAACAACTAGTGCTAAGAAAATCGCTAAAATGTCCCAATGTTACTCGTGTGCCGTTTATATAACCGGACTTTAATTTCTTCATAGTCGTTATCATAGCCAACGGAATTTTTCCTTGATCTGAAAGTAATTAATAAATTAATATAAAGTTTTTCATGTATATAATATTTTGAGTTAGAACTATAAAGAAATAAAAATGTTAGTAAATATAGATATTCTATATAGATACAAAGGAAGATAGGCATACAACAAATTAATAGGCATTATTTTAGTAGGAAGAATTTTTAAATGATAATAATCACCTAAATGTAAACTTCTTACAGGAATTGTGACCAGAGGCCGTCCTAACATATTTTGCCAACTTGATTTTAAGAAATTGAGTTCACTCTTGAAAATATCTATCATCAGTTCGTAATCTGAAGCGATGTAATTGCGCGACATGTCGCTAAACTAAATCGAAATTAATAAAATAAATCAAAATTAACTGAATCAAGTGAATTATTTTAGTAACCTGTGGAGTAAAGGCAAATATCCGGTCTCCCATTGAATATAATTTGCTGGTACTTAATATTCCCACGTCACGAGATTTTCTTCCACTCAAACCTAACTTTTTGTTTCTTCCTAAAAAGGTAATTTGATTTTTGATGCTTCGTCATTTATAGAATACATACCTAAGTATGTGTAAAGATGGGATAACAGCCTTGCTGGTTGTACTTCAATTGGTGCAACTTCTGCTATTGTTTGTACGTATATATCGTGCTCTAACAATTTCTTTCTTATTTCATTATCTTCTGCTAGAATGACAACCTGTACAACCACATCAGGTTTTTTCTCAGCACACAATCTCCTATTTAATGGATCTAATTCACCAGCCGCGAGGTAACCCTCTTGTAGAAGTTTACCGACAATGTAAAGGGATTGTGCCCAAAGGAACGGTGATTGACCTAAAGCAACTCGCGTTTGGCTTCCTGGATCTTTGTATTCCTCATCCACTAATTGTGGCGGAACTGCATACAATTCAGGAACTAATTTAATACCGTCTTCAGTTTTAATCATAATCTAAAAATCACAAACCAATCATTACAGTAGTGAATAAAAATCGCGATATATTACCTCCTCTAACATATCTGTATATACTGAGGCAAGTTCTTTCTTTCCTTGGAAACAGTAGTCTAATATTAAATAACAGAAAAATAACGGCCATTCGCATTCAATACTGTCGAAAACTCTAAGCTCCCATGGCTCGTAATATAATCTGTTAGGATCCTGTAAATAATAATTTGAATATTGCAATCTAGTTGATACAACATATTGTAAATACTTCTTTAGGTGTCCTATATCCATCTCTTAAGAATCTTTTGCATCCATAATGGCCTTGTAATTTCTTAAGTATATTTCCTCTAGTAAGATTGATTAAAACAGGATCATCCACAGCAAATGCAGGAAATCCAATAACTGATAAAATTCCACTATCAGTTTCTTTTGAGCTGGATTCTCTTGGTAACATAGACTTAACAGGAAAATAATAAATAAAGAACAAACAATACTGCATTGTGAATAATTACTTGTAGGACTGCTTGACATTTTTGGGCTTCATCTGCAAGGACATGAATAATACTGTATGGTCCACCACGAGCTCCAAACAAGTCCAATTCATTCATAGCTTCAAGTGCAGCTTTTGCCATGCCAATGCTGCTGGCATTTAGTTCTGGCAAGCCATGATTGGTTTTATCACCTCTCTCCCATATCCCATAATCTGGAGTGCAATAAGCACTTTCAATGTAAAACACTAAATTCTGTACAAATGAAACCTCATCCAAGTTAAAAATTATTTGAAGTCCAGATGCAGTCATCTGAGCTAAGATAAGTAAATAAAGACTAATAGCATCAATCTGCAAATGTCCCCAATCCATATCACTAACTACAGTTTGACCAGTTACAGAAGAGTACTTGGCGTGCAGTGAGTCTGAAGAATTTTGAGTCATTTTAAACTTTTCCACTTTATCCTTTTGCCTCATCATGCACATCAAAAGGCCCCTCATTAATTTAACACATGACTGTTCTAACTCATACGTTTTAGCCCTGTCTTCATCCTGATCTGCCATCTTCTTGTAAGACATTGATAGGCCCCAAACTGCTAATATGCAATACACATTGTTTCTGATCCAAGCATGGTCATTCTCTTCACTTAAGGGAAACAGTCCCGTTACTGGATTTTGATGTTTCATTATAACTCGATAAACTATCCTCTGATAGTGGTCCAAACGAACCCCAGAATTGCTTCTGCTTCTCATCTTAATATTAGTTACAATGACACTTGAATGACAAAATTACTTCTTGGATTATTTTTTCACTTCAGTTAGGTTACCAATTGTAAAATGTTTACATTTGTATTCTGTTCAACCATTATATTATGTAATAATGCTTTCGAATCAATTTACAATTATATTGCGTTATATCTAATCACATTAATTTATAATTGTATTTGATTGTATAGTATAAAAATAACAAATAGTATATATATAAACAGAAAATAATTAAAAATATTGTTTTCAAAAAATCAGTGCTGATGGCGCTGTTGTCATTATTATCATTTTACATGTAAATTGCTATAATTTTAAAGCTAATATTTGTTTACGTTTTATCACCAACACAAAGCCAAATCATATGGTATATGTGTTTTGAAAGTAATTGTAAAGAATAAAATTTCATAAAATATTCGTGTTCATTGCTGTGCACAAGTTCAGTGATATTACTAATGTTTTGACTGGCTTTGACGTGTGTCACTTTGTGTGTTTAGGTTACAATTTCTAACATGTAAATAGGAAGAGTATTTTGGTTTAAATTCAAGTAATTTCAGTGCATTCATTTAAATATGGGTAACGCTGGTAGTAGTGGTGTTCCAAGGGATCGTCACAAGTCTGGAGAAACCGTTCCTTCGTCACCATCGAAAGAAGAAAATCAAGCATTTAATTTTGATAAAAAGCCAGAACATAAAGTGCTATCACTGCAAGGTTCTCAGGAGGATGAGGAACCATATTTCACAAAACCAGTTGCTAGGGAGGTACAATTTGAGCCACCAACTAGACAAAGGGCAAATACTGTATCAGAAGGTTTGTTTCTGATATTATTTATTTCAATAGTTACTAAATTAATTAATGTTGTTTAGGTACCACAGTTAGTGATAAGACTCCAACTGTCTTTAGATGGGAAGGGGGTGGCAAAGATGTATACATCAGTGGTACTTTCAGTGAATGGAAAACAATTCCAATGGTAAAAAGTCATGGTGATTTTGTAACCATCATTGATTTACCAGAAGGCGAACATCAATATAAGTTCTATGTTGATGGGGAGTGGAGAAATGATCCTGGCACTAAAGTTGTTGTGAATGACATTGGTACTAAAAACAATGAAATTTCAGTCCGTAAATCAGATTTTGAGGTATTTGAAGCCTTGGACAAGGATAGTGAAAATGCTCCAGGTGAAATGCAAAAAGAATATTCACAAGAAATCCCTGCAAACAAACCATGGGAAAAGGTTGCAGGTCCTCCCTTTTTACCACCCCATTTATTGCAGGTTATTTTAAACAAGGACACACCATTATCTGTAAGTTGTATTTATATATTAAGGAAATGTGAAGTTTCAATCTGAATGTTTTTTTTTAGTGTGAACCTACATTATTACCCGAGCCAAACCATGTGATGCTGAACCATCTTTATGCATTATCCATTAAAGAAGGGGTGATGGTTTTAAGTGCGACACATAGGTACAGAAAGAAGTATGTAACAACACTATTATACAAGCCAATTTAAACGAGAAATAAACAAATAAAATAAGATTAATATATTTATGTATACATAACTTGGCTTAATATTTTTAATGTATATTTATTATGACATATTTAGTATGGTTTTTAACATTTTAAATTGTATTATTTTTTCGTTTTTACTTAGTTTTAGTTTATAAACGGCAATTTTGAACTTATTATTGTTGGAGTATAATAATAAGTATAATATGATGAAGATGTTACCAATATTTTGTAGTATTTTATTTTTAACAACCAATTATTGTACAATGTTACAGACGTTTAATTTAATGTGGAATAAACTATTAATGGAAGTTTCATTTATTTTTTAATAGATTCATGTGTGTATTTTAAACAAGAATAAAAACAATGAAATTTTATTTATTTGTTTATTACTTTTTTAAATTTTATTGACAAAAAATAGTTTGTAGTTTTCTTTAAAACAAAATATATTTACAAAATACATTATTTAATATATAAGGAGGAAGAGGAACCTATAATACTAAAATATTTATTCACAAAATAATACATAGTAAAAGTAATATGGCAAGAGCAAACAAAATAAAAACGTATTTATATATAATCCTTGATACAAGGTTATTAAAAAATTGCAAAATAAGTCTTTTTGAAATCACTACTAAATATTAAAAATTGCATTTACACGTATTCTTCAGAGGGTTTCGTTGCGTTTGTTAGCCTAAGTGAATTTGGAACCCGGCCGTTAACAGTGTCTGGTAATTCCGCTATGTCTTTGAATACTCCGGCTAGGCTCTCGAAGTTTGGGCCCCAGTTGAGCAAGTAATCCCATCCGAGTGCGGTGTTCGATGATGAACCCGTCGGAGGTCGATAAAGAACCCCACCGAGTTCGTCGTCGCTGGCAACTAGAGTGCTCATAGATCCTCTGTAGGATGAATCGAATCCATCATACGATGGCGGTGGCATGTTGTTCTTGTTGGACATGCTGCTGTTGCTTCTTCTATTCTCCTGCTCGTTCTGCTTGTATTTGTCGCCAGCTAAACTGGCATTGTCGTATTCGATTTCTGAGCACGTAAAACTATCGTTGCCACTCTCGTCGGTTGTGGATGAACTATGATGAGTTTCAGGTACTGGAGAGTGATGCATGTGTGATAAATGATTTGGCACTGTACCTCGTGGGGCTTCACTTGAACTAGAAACAGCATCCAGTGTAGATACTAGACTCGAGGTGCGCGGTCTAGCATTCAGTCTTTCTATCTCTTCGGCGGTTAAGCCCATCCCTGGGGATGCTGAAGTGACTGGCGGTGCTGTAACCTTCCGACTCGCAGAACTTTGTCCACTCAGTTGGGACATTACGGGACTATTTAAACTTCTTTCGCTGTTGCTATGCAGAACATCCTTTCCGACACCTCCTGAACTCGAGGTCGTGGCCAGAAGAGCACTCTGCAGAGGCTTCCCGCTTATGTCGTGCAGCGTTAAAATTCTCGGCTGCTGTGCGCTCATTTCGCTGCTGGGGCTTAGACGAGCCAAGGGAGTACTTTGATGAGGACGTGAAACTGATCCTGTCACCGGGGGTGCCCTTGGTGGAAATCCTGTTGGATGATGGGGTGAATGTCGATGCTGGGCTTGGGCTTGAGCTGTTGCATGCTTGTGATGATATCCGCTAACTGGAGGAGGTGTGGCTTTATATTTTCGCATTCCAGCTGCTTCCCTGTATCCTTTGTAATGATAAATAATATCGATGTCTGATGGTGCAATGCTACTGGCATTTTCTAAATCATAATGTTCGGGAACTTCGGAATTAAGGTCGTTCGGTCCGTGGTCGTGTGGATGATTGTTCGAGGGAGGCATGGGCGGATGGTGATCTTCTCTAATTGGCGTAGATTTACTTAACACCTCTCTCTCGATAATATCTGGCCTTTGCGATCTTTGCAACTCGTTCTGCATAATTTCCCTTTCTTTAAATTTCTTAGAAATCAGTTCTGGCCCAACAATTGGATGGCCGCCAATGCCTCTGATCACATCTCCGTTCTCCGAGTGATAACCCATAGATGTTTCATTAGCGTGCAGCGAGCGTGAAAGCACATTATCTGTGACACTGTTTAGCAATCCGTTCGCATTTAACATCGTCGTATTACCATTTTGTTTGCTGTGCATTCCTGAGGGACTGCCGGGTACACCAGATTTCTCTTTGTTCTGCTTTCTCAATCTGAACACCACAAAAGATACTAGGATAGCAACCAAAAGTACAACGAAGAAAACTATCACTAATGTAATTCCAATACTCAATGGATCTGGTGCTGCGACCGCACCTAATCCTATAGTTCCACTGCAACCGGCGATGACTTTGCCTTTCAAGATTGTTTCGTTAAAGATGCTTCCGGAACCATTTAACGGTTGAATTTCATTATTGACGGTGAAATTAACGATGCACCCTTCGAAATATTGTAGTTTCTCTTTATAATACATATTGGCCGCAACACCACCAACCGACAGATAATTCAAATACGGATCTAAAAAGTCATGGACACTAGCAGCATCCAATTCGTCCCCTACCATTCTATTGTCTAGGTAAATTTTCAACCCTCTGGCATGGGAATATAAGGTGACATTATGCCACTTTCCATCGGTAATTTCGTGATGCATTTCAGTTGTATTAATCACCGTGCTCAAATTGCTAATATAAACTAATTGTCCATTATTCAGCTCCAGACTGGTATAATGCTTATTACTGGCCGCATAAAATAATATTCCATTTGGGTTCATTGTGCGGAACAAAAAGCTAATCTGTTTACTGGGCGATGAATTGATCTGCTGTGAAATCGATCTAGTTTTTCTTTGATGGTACCAGGTCGATCCACCGTAAAGAGATTCTAATAATTGCATCCTCGTGTGCTTTTTAGAGATTACGAACTCCATATAACCACCGTTGCTGAATTTTAGAGCCTCCAGAGCTTTATTGCAATTAGGAGCTATAATGTTTGAGCCACATTTACAGCTAGTTGTATGCCATCGATCCAAGCATTCTCCAAAACCGCCGCATTTGTCGACGAAGGATGCCTTGCACGAACCCTTCCTTCCACATGACGAATCAACGCCGTACGATTCAATTGGTCTACTCAAGTTCAACTGGCGTCCGTTGATTGTAACACTATGCACACAGCCGACCAAATCATCGGAATGTACTTGTCCTGGACGCTCTAGCACTGGATCTGCGCTTCTCAAACCACCAATCATAACTGGATTGTTGTTGAAATTTAATGTTCTGTAAATAAAGACCATACAATTATTAATTATGTTCGATGCGGATTAGAGAGATTCTAATTAACATACCCAGACGGTCCAATATCATCTGCGTAGCAAGTTGAATCATCTGGTTTGCAATCTTCGCATATATCCCCTTGATCGGAACACGCAGCTACACTCAGCGAAATAACACGGCCGTTCCTCGTGGCAATTATTTTGTGCCAATTTCCATTAGCCAAATTGCCGGATTTGCCACCTACACTTATCGAAGTTATTGCCGTTCTTGCGCCACCAAATGAGAATACCGCTCGTCCATTCACCAATTCAATGGCAACGAAATCGCTTCTACCTCCGGTATACAAACCATAATTATAAACTAACAAGGAGTCTGGTTTCGTTGTTGCGAATATGAACGTCAAATCATTGGTTGCCGAGTCCAAGGTGGGGAACGACATGAACGACAGTTCTTTGAATCCGAACGTCGAGTTTTCGCAATGTCTTCCGTATCTGCCTTCCGTGCAGCTGCATTTGTAACCCGGTTTCAATCCAACGCACAATCCACCGTGCATGCACGGATTCGGTCTGCACGAGTCCACTAAGATTTCGCACTGGTTGCCTCGGTATCCGGGACGACACAAACAGAAGAATGAAGAACCACCGTTGGTTTCTCTGCAAGTTCCTCCATTATGACAGGGACTCTCGGAACACGCGTCGCCTCTTTCTAGCTCGCAGAATTTTCCATCCTTATTGGCTGGACAAATGCATTGGAAGTTGAATCCCTGCCTTCTACATTGTCCACCCGATTTGCATGGATTCGGTAGACACGGATCTTGTTTATGATTGCAATTTGGTCCGGTAAAACCGTCTGTGCATTGGCAGCTGAAGTCATGCTTAACTAAGGGTGAAGTAAACACGATATTCGGAGAATTCGTAATCTGAGTAGACTTATTAACAGAAATGTTTTCAGTGCAAACACCGCCATTTTCACAAGTATTTTTATTACACGGAGAGTAATTAATTTTCGTCTCCTTCTGGAACAGACTGTTTACAGACGCTTGTTTTCTGATGATTTTATCAGTCACATAGTGTTTTGGTTGGAAGTTATTTGTGGATTTCACTGCGATGGTCAATTCTAATGCATTGCTTGATTCATAAAGACCATAAAGAATTATATTGTCTGTTTGTGGGAATATATTCTTCAGCAAATCTAAAAATCCTCGGTAATTGTTGGCCAGAAAATATTGAGCAGACATATTAGCTATGCGGATGGTTATCGAGTTGTCAACTGTTGCATTATCGAAGTTTATGAATTCTACAGTTACAGTTGAAGTTACATCTTGATGTTTGCCGTCGTTACCAATAATGGATAAAGAATAACCTTGGTATGGAGTAATTCTCGAAGTAAATAAGTTGCATTTGGAAGGAATGGATAGTATATTTCCTGTAGCTTGCATATCTAGAATCTTACATCTATAATCTCCAGTTGTATCAGGATCGTTTGGTTGTACTTCAGCAATTTTTCCAATAGGAAAAGCACCGTTGAATGCATAAACTAATACGTGAGCTGAACGCGATGTAGATGGGCTGTCGTTTTGATCCAATATTGTTACTCTGACGATATGCTGCGATTTCATTTTGGGCATACCATTATCTTCAACCTCCACTAATAAATCTAATTCTGGTGTGGTTTCCCTGTCGATCACTTTAGTTGTAACCATTATACCAGTGTGTTTATCAAGTTTCACGTAATCGGCGTGTTTTCCACCTATAATACGGTAAGCGAATGGAGCACCATTTGGTGGTAAATCTGGATCAGTGGCTGACAAAGTCATAATTTTAGTACCAAGTGGTTCATTTTCAGAGACTTGTCCATGCACTTGAGGAGAATCGAATATTGGCCCATTGTCATTGATATCTGTGACATGTATTTCAACAGTTGCACTGCCAGTTTGCGGAGGTATGCCTGTATCAATTCCTCCAACGATTAGATTGTATTTTGCAATAGTTTCCCTATCTAGCAGACGCATCGTTTCGATTTCTCCAGTTTGCGGATCAATTTTGAAAGCGTGTTCTAGGTTTCCACCCAATATTGAATAACTAAATTGGTTATTTTGCGGTCTGACGTCTTTATCAACAGCCTTAACTGTTGTAACTTTTGTTCCAATTGTCGCCCCTTCAGAAATATTTGTTCGGTAAAGTTTCTGCAGAAATTCTGGTGGATCATTGCCGTCTTGAATTGCAATAATAACTTGTGCTTCGTCCGTATCGTTACCTCTAATTCCTCCGGCATTCTTTGCCAGCACAGTTAGTACGACACGACTTTGAGTTTCTCTATCTAAATTCCTGGATACGCTAATGACTCCAGTCACTGGGTTTATGCTAAATCGACGATGGTTCGAAGATCCTACGAACAAATAATACACATTGCCATCTTCACCAGAATCCTGATCTGTGGCTTGTATTGTTCCGATGCTCGTTCCAATTTCGGTGGACTCGGACACGTCGAAATGGAAAACGGGCTGTATGAAATGCGGATAGAATTCATTGACACCAGTGATATGAACTATTAATTCGGTTTCACCATACATATTCGAATCTGGATTGGCGGCGATAATTTTCAGATGATATTCCTCTTTCTCTTCATAATCGAAACTTTCTTTCGTTAATACAACGCCGGTATCCTTGTTGATGGTGAATAGATCTCTGCCATCCCCACCCGAAAATGAGAATTGTATTTTGGCGTTCTTGGGTGAATCTAGATCCGTTGCATTTACTTGGTAGACAAAACTGTTTGCAGGTAAATTTTCGGCAATGAAACCTTCGTAAATGGTCTGATTGAAAGTGGGAGAGTTATCGTTGATATCTGTCAGTGTAATGGTTAGCATAGCGGTAGCATTGAGGGAATGGAAGCCGCGATCGAATGCAGTGATATTGAGATGATACTCTTGGACGGTATCATAATCAAGCGGTTGTAAAATTGTGACTGCTCCGGTAACAGCATCGACCGCAAATTCTTTTCTTTCGTTGCCGGCAGATATTTCATATCTGACCATTCCGTTCGGACCTTTGTCTCCGTCCGCAGCGCTGACTGTTAATATCGTTGAGCCGATGGGTTCATTTTCTGGAACAATGACTTGATAGCTCAATGCAGTGAAGACAGGCGTGTACTTGTTTTCCCCAGTGACGATTAGTGTGACGGAAGTCTCATCGTGCTGCGCCGGTATCCCCTTATCCGTGGCTCGAATTCTCAATATGTATGTGCTGCCCACTCCTTTAACTTTCTTCTTCAGAGAAATCCAACCGGTGCTCTTATCCACATCATAATGATTAGTACCATTCCCTCCGACGATTGAATACACAATCTCGGCGTTAATTCCGTAATCTAAATCGTCTCTTGCTACGATTTGTATTAATCTCTGACCCTCGTCAGCATCTTCCGGAACTGGAGACAAGTAGTCGTGCTGTTCGAATTTCGGAGCATTATTATTTGCATCGACGACATTGATTGTAATCAAACATTCCGATGACATCGGCGGCTTCCCGTTATCTGTCGCTAATATTGTTAACGAATAAATATTCTCCGGTGACGATTCCAGTTGCGTGTACTTGTACTTAAGACTCTGTTTGCTGAAAATTTCACCGGAAGCTGGATCAACGGTGAACAGGTCTGACGGTTGTTGCAGCGAATAGCTGATAACGGAATTGGGACCTTGCTTGTCGCGATCCGCAGCCGAAACCTGTCCCACCAGCACCACGTTCTGCTGAAGTTCGGGGAAGTTGAAGCTGTAGTAAGAATGTTCGAATTCTGGTGCATTGTCGTTTTGATCTTGAATCGTTATGGTTAAGGTTGTTTCTATTCTCCAAGCTCCGTCGATGGCCACAACCTTCAGGAGGTATTCATCTTGATGCTCACGGTCCAAGTTACCAACCACCGTGACATTACCGCTAATTGGATCAATTTTGAACTTTTCACCCGGGTTCTCAGTGAAACTGTATGTAGCATTTGCATTATCTCCAATATCCCGATCTGAGCTCGTTACGCGAATCACGAACGATCCAATTTCTGCATTTTCTGTTACATTGACGCTGAACAGTCTTGTAAATCTCGGAGGGTTGTCGTTTTTGTCGAGAACAGTCACCACTACAGTGGCCGAACCCGATAATTCGGGACTACCGTGGTCAACAGCTTCTACTGTCAACTCGTAAGTGGCTATCTCTTCCCTGTCCAATTTAATGGTTGTGTAGATCTCTCCGTTCTCTTCATCAATCTCGAAGGAATCGAAATCATCAACAAGTCTGTAGAATACTTGGCCATTCTTGCCGGAATCTTTGTCGGTGGCCAAGACAGTGGTTACCAGCAGAGCTGGCGTTTCCTCTTCGAGAACTGTGGCATTATAAAGTGGACTGCTTAGCACCGGGGCATTATCGTTTGCGTCTGTGACGTTAATGATTAATTTAATTACACTCCTGAGCGGAGGGTTATCGGAATCTCTGGCCTCTACCCACACTTCGTATTTGTTGGTAGTTTCATAATCCAAGCCCTTCCCGTCGACTTGGACTTCGCCACTGATTTTGTCAATTTTCAGGGCGTCGCCCAAGTTTCCCCCTGCGATTGCATATTCGATGGCACCTGTGGATCCCTTCTTGGGCGAAGTTGCTCTAACTTTGGTAATAAGTTTGCCCTCTTCCGCGTTTTCCATGAGCGTGAACTGGGTGTCGATGGGCGAGCTGAAGGTGGGAAAGAGGTGGGCCGATTTCAAATGGATGATGACTTCTGTTTGCGCCGATCTACGGACCGCTCCTCCGTCTATCGCTTCTATTTGCAGAGCGAACACATCTCGTGCATTTTTATAGAGGTCCGTTACGGCTTTAATGACTCCACTTTCAGGATTTATGGTAAAAAGGTTAGCGTGTTCACCTGTTAGGTGATACGTAATTTTGCTGTTTGCGCCCACGTCGTTATCAATCGCCTTTGCGCCGAACACGAATTGCCCGGACTTGGTTTTATCGGAAATGTAAACTTCGTATTTCGCGGACAAAAATACAGGCGAGTTATCGTTCTCGTCCAGCACGGTGATTGTTAAATTAACAGCTGTTGCCCTCGGCTCGGTCGTCGAACAATCTTGGGCCATTAAAGTTAAATGATACACATCCAACTCCTCGCGGTCCAAGTACGTGTTGGTGGTTATGACGCCTGTATCTTGGATTATTTTGAATCTATCCACTTTCTCGCCGAGAAGGCTGTACCGCAACTTAGCATTCAGACCGACGTCTCGGTCGGTCGCCACGGGTGAAAGCACCCACGAACCGATTGCACTATTCTCCTTTATCGTAGCCCTATAAGACTGACGCTTGAATTCTGGACTGTTATCGTTCACATCCTGCACTATTATCTTCACTGTACCGGTCCCGGTCAACGGTGGAGATCCTGGAACAGATAAAATTCAAATATTATATTACTTGTCAAACACAATAACAAAAATCATCGAAGAACAAATTTACATCGTGATAAATCTAATAAGTTTCGTTAGAGCGAAATATTGCAATTCTCAGACCACAATAGTAACAAGAATTTGTAATAGTTTGGAGTACTGGTATTTAATAGGAGTATTTAATTATACATAGTATGAAAGGATTTTACTACAGAAAAATCAGATTTTATTAGTGGATATAGCAACATATTAAACGAATAAGAAGTTAATTTAAGTTACTTCATATTTGTTTCAGTTAAATGTAATATTGTTATTGCATGATGAATCATTTATCGATTCCGATGATGCTTTCCGATAAGCAATATTCAAGACTAGTAATGGGCAATAATGATTCGTTTCATAAGTATCCTGTATTTATGCAAATAATGCGGAGAGATCTGTGCGCGATATAATAATGCAATTTGTCACCGCTGCTCGCAGCGGGGCAATTGCATCTATTCTACCGGGAAGTAGAAAGGAAGAAAGAAATCGAGAAGGAGGCAGTGAGAGAGAAAGAGAGAATGGTAATTCAACATGGAGAAAGAGTGAAGGAGATGTAGAGCTAAATCAAGGACTTCAATCAGCTTTTAAATATCTTCAGGTAATATCTCCGAGGAAGGAACATTGCATTTTAAACGGAGACAAGACAGATCGTGCTTTGTATGTATTGTTATAGTTGCTCGGAGTTATTATAAAATTGAACCCGAGGAACGGCCGGGTCAAACGCTCACAAAACCCCACGGAGATTACAATCGGAGCTAAACTTTATCGGATAAACATTTTGTCGGCGCATGATGAATGAAATGCAATAAATAAAATCATCCGCCGATGGAGAAGGAGAAAAAGGAGATGAAAAATAAAGAAAATCAAATAATAATATGATGTTGATGATGAGGGGGAGACCCGCATGAGAAAAATGATCCGTTCGCCATTTCGTTATGCAATTTGATTCAATCTTGGTTTTCCTATGAGCCAAAACGACTGACTTGACTCAACGTATCATAAACACGGCGAGCTCACTGTATTTGTATTTGCAAGTGTTTTCTTTGAGGGCGTTTGACCTATCCTGACCCGGGATGGATTCCGGACGCCACGTCTAAACCTAGTTATGTGAAGAAAAGCACTTGCTGCCTCCGGGCCGCTAATAGAAGGCACACTGCGTGCTTACTGCCGACACATTCATAACCGAAGCCAAAGAAAAACGAACATAGAAAACGAACACACACATATACATACACATTTACGTAATCAAAGAAAACAACACCTATGCGGTTTAATGGCAATGCATTTGGTACGAGAGGCGCTTGTGTCGCGCAATGATAATGGTTATCAAGGTGTTTGATGGGCTACGAAAACAAGGCTCTCGGACTTGGTAGTCTACTTAGGTTTTATGTTATCGTGGTTTATTGTATACATTAAACCGACATAAAATATCAATGGTTAAACTCGTTCAGATAAATTTTAGTTCCGATGGCTCATTAGCAACTCATGCTGTGTGCGGCATTTTGTTCTTGATGCTGCTTCATCCACTACGCTGCAAACGCCGCGAGCCAATTTATATATACTAAATTGATGCACCACAAGCAACGATTGTAATTCAAACAATCAACGTTTTTATCCGGCCACGAATTAACTCCGCGCTTCATTTCCTTTCATTCTTTTATTTTATATATTATAATTTCCGATTGGATCATATCTACATCGAAGACTAATCATCGTTCTAGATGATCTTCTCGGAGCTGTTAGTTAGGTCGTCGTCCGGAAGAGATTAAGGTTTGTTAGTTACTCGGAATTCTCAAGATGAACCTGGGCGGATGGCCCAAGTTGCTGCGGCATAGACCCTTTGTCTCTCCGCTTGTTAGAATCAGCAATGTAGATGCTAATCGTGCACCGTGAGAAAAGTACGCCGTCGTGACAATTCACGAAGTCTGCAGGGTATAAGCTCAAGCACTTCACCTGCCCTCAACCACTCATAACGTATATTTCCCTCCTCCTGTCCTGGTTTTCTCAATAATCTATTCCGGTAACGGTAAAATGAAATAATAATAATAGTAGACCGGAGAGAATGAATAAAAAAAGAGAGGAAGAAAAACGAGAAGTAGTAACAATCCACACAAAAATAACGTGCCTTATCGCATCGCATACCTGAAACGTCGTTTCCTCTCTCCATCTATTTATTCTTATTAGATATTTTTGCCTCTCTGCGAGCGATTCCAACCATTCACTATTACAAATCAAGATCATGTAATACAATAAACATACGTTTAGCGCGGCAATGATTTCGCTGCAGGAATGAGCCAATGGGCTTAATTAATTATAGATTATAGACTTGTCGCAATTAGTGTTTCTCCCTTTCTAGATTCTCATTAACATCTTTAACATATATTAATTGCGACTGCTTTTCCAGCGTACTAATGCTACTTAAATATTAAGCCCACTCTATTCGAATCGCTTTTATTGATATTGAAACCGCTTTCAATTATTCCAACATCACTCTAGAAGCGAACATTAGAAATATCCATTATGAATCAAAAAATATTCGCTTTTACTTGCATCCAATACGTGATTTATATGTAAATGTATAAATGAGATTAAAAAAATAGTTGTTTAATGCTTATTCACGTATTACTCGAAACCTGAGTACGATAAATAATAAATCACGTACAGTATTTTTAATAAAGGAATTAAAAATCAACAATTTTAGGGATCGGATTTGAATGATTGAATTATTGCAGGTAGTGAAGGTGTGAATCAAATATTATTATCAGACTGTTGGTTGCTTCGTCGTCAGCTTTTTTTGTTTGTTACTAACATAAGGTAAATTTATAGTGGACAGCTTATCCCAACGATATCTTCACTTTATTTGCCCGTCGTTTATTTATCTATTTTATAACGTACAGTCGCGTCCAGTTGTAAAATGCAGATTGACAGTGATATAAATAGACGGCGCTCCGATACTATCTGGGTTCGTTTGTATAACTGTCGATTTGCAAATGTATTGAATAGCCTTGCAATTTTCAATATTCCCCTTTTGTCTACTCTTCTTGAATAACCATAAATCGACGGCGAACCTTAAACTATACGAAGGCAACCGTTTTCGTTGTTTCTTTCTTGCCGTGTTTCAGTATACTTTCAGTGATTTGTCCAAGAGAGCCGTTTCATGTTCACAATATATTTTTACTTATTTATTTCGTGGGAGTGCACCAACGGCGTTATAATCTTTACAAGATAATGGAAGATAGAGTAGAATGTAATTTATCTAAAATAATGTTCAAGATGGCGTTGCGCGATTATGGGCAGCCTTAAATAATGTCTTGTTGCAAAGTTGTTGATTATAATTTTTTCAATGGTTTCAATTCTTATCCGTATTGCGTCTGCATGTAATAATAATAAATCAGACTAACCTGTGTCCATGGCGACCAAGGAAAGTGTGTACTCGGCTTGTTGCTCCCTGTCGAGGGCCCTGAGCAAAGAGATCTCGCCAGTTGAAGCATTGATCCTAAATATATCTGTATCTCCTTCTTTGATGAAATATCTGACCAAGGAGTTAAAGGGTGGAGTATCGGCATCGTAGGCCTGAACGGTAATCACGTAGCCTCCATTTGGTGGGATGACGTTTTCCATGACGTAAGCCAAATACGGGGAGTCGAGGAATGTCGGTGGATTATCGTTGATGTCGGATACGGCGATTGATACTTCCGCTATGTCCGAGTTCACTTTGTCACCGTTTATATCACCAGCACAGTCTTCGGCTCGCACTTTCAGTAGGTACCGCGATTTGCGCTCGTAGTTGAGATTCTTGGCGACGCGGATGGTGCCCGTGTCTTCGGCAATGCTAAAATCGCGATTCGTATCACCATCCACAATTGAGTAACGCACCTTTCCATTCAGCCCTTCATCCACGTCAGTTGCGGACACCTGCGTACGATAATTAAAATTAATTAGTTTTGCTTATCGCTTTATATTTTCTTATTCGTTTTACCTGAAGAACGCTGGCTCCGATCGAAGCATTCTCAGCTATCGAGGCGCTGTACTGCTTAGGATCAAAAACTGGACTGTTATCGTTGTCGTCGAAGACCTTGATGTAAACTTGCGAGGACGTGGATCTCGGCGGATCGCCCAGATCTTTGGCGGTGATGTAAACGATGTAGCTGCTCTTCAGCTCCCTGTCGATCTTCCCAGCGACTTTCAGGACACCGTCTACCGGACCCAGGGAGAAGACATCCCGGATCTCCATCTCGTTGTTTATATAATAGTTGACGTCGCCGTTGGAGCCTTCGTCTTTGTCCACAGCCTTAACAACCATGACGACGGTATTGATCGGCACATTCTCGGTGACGTTGGTCACGTTGGTGGTGATGAACTCGGGGGACATATCGTTGACGTCTTTCAGAGTGATGGTCGCCTTTAGTGAAAAGAGATAAAATAGATTCATTGTTTAATTTTACGGTCATTTGCGAATGATAGTTAAAGAAATAAAAGACAGAGAAAAAAGATGAGAGGGAACAAGAAAAAAAGAACGGGAAAAAAATAATAATCATTATTATAGTCGGTCGTAAAACTGGCCTGCTGCTAATGTCCTGTCCCTTCAGCATCCCAGACAATATATTTTATCAAAAACTCACTTGTACTGTTGAGGACAGTCTCTTTTCTGGCGGTGCCGCCATGTCCGTAGCTGTGATCACCAAATTATAAACGCTCCTCGTCTCTCTGTCGAGCATCCTGTTGGTGATGATTGTACCGTTCCTGGTGATCCTGAAGTCCTCATTCTCATCGCCCGAAGTGATGCCGTACTCGACTCTCCCATTATTCCCTGCACACCACCATAAATATATAAAACACATATTTTATACCAGTTTTTGTTTCTTATGCATCCGTTCCTCTAACGAAACGACTACTAATTTCATCGCTGCGATAAAGCCATTTATCTCAATGAAATGTTGCCCATAAATTTCAAAATTAAAATGTAAGTAAGTATATTTTCCCATCTTCAATGCAGCAGCGTAAGTCATTGTGAATATTATTATTATTTTACTTTTTGAATCATTCAGTATAGTTTTATTGCGCGTTTCATTTCGGCGCATTAAAAGTTCTACGTTTATAGCCGGCCCCTGGTTTCCCATCAAATACCATTTAATGTCCACCTTATCGGACGGGGCTTGGGCAATGCGCGCATCATTACATAACATCAAAGAAATGTTCAAATTTTACGATTTTCCTTATGGGAAGCGTTATTCTTATTATTACTATCTTCATCGGTTTCATCGAATGGATGAAATACAAATGCAATGTGATAGTAATTGTAATAATAGTAACAGTGACACGATGTCATGATGTGCATTGAGCAACAGGGTTTTGCACAATATTTGTGTACAGGTCCCCCGCTCTATTCTTACGTCGCGGTAAAAACTGCGCTCGGAGAGGGCGACTCTCGACTCATATTGTCATTGTGCGCTCTCCTGCACGACCCGTGGGGTCATCAGTATTGTGTTTAATGTCATATTATTAGAGAATCGCTGCTTAATATTACAGTTTCAAAGCTTGAAAATGATACTTCCCTATAATCTAATAACACCGATAGCGAAAAGGCCACACTATAAATAGAATGTGGAATATATAGTGTGCACAACGGCACCGCGCCATCAACCTACCTACCTATCAGCTGAAGAAAATGCGAAGCCATTACCATTTCATAATGTAAGCCGGGGCCATACAATAACTTCGCGTTTTCATTCAATAATGACAAGAATAAATATAACATTTCGATTTTCTACGTTCGCTCTTTGTAACGAGAACTTGAAAACTAATTATGTGGGATAATTACAGATTTTGAACTTTGCCGCGACCTTTCTATTCTAAATGAGTTTTACTATAACTTTTTAATGTTCTGATAGAATGCATTCTTTCAGTTATATTTTTTATTATAACTCATACATATTATGTGATGCTTGCCGAGTGAGCGTACGGCTAAAAATATGTTATCCTGTTAAATTATTCAGTGTATGCTATTTAATGTTTTTTACTGACAACAAATATCATCTTCGATAATTCTGGCAGGATAATGAAGTTGTAAAGATAAGAGCGAATGAAGCAATAGTTTCGGTACGTCAAAACAGCAAACATTATCGAGGGATATATTTTGACGCGGTGCATTTGGTTCTTTCCCTTTTTTGTGGTATGTTCAGTGAAGATAAGGCTCGTTCGAGGAGACGGCGACGAAGAGGAATTGCGAATCCACAAACCTGAATCAAGATCGGTAGCGCTGACAGTAATGACCGGCGTCGATATGGAGACATTCTCGAATATCTCGTTGCTGTATGACATTGGATCGAAAACGGGAGCGTTGTCGTTTAAATCCAGCACGTTGCAGTAAACTGTCAGAGTGCTAGATAATGCCGGATGTCCTGCGTCCTGGGCCTGGACCACGAGGATGTAGTGCTGCATCTGGAACAAACAACAACAACAAAGAATCAGCAAACAAGAACGACGCACTGTAGAGACTCGAAGACCGATAGGAAATCTACGATCTATTCCTGTCCATGCCATTCCACACACACACTCTCTACCACCATACATTCTGCATAATATGTGTGTATGTATATGAAACGTGTTCTATTTACAAGGAGCGCAATTTGTTGCAATTACGGCCTTTAGGTTGTGAAAATAAAAAAGATAGAGTCTCGACCGTCGAGCGGATTATTAATAATCATAATAATAATCGCATAATGACGTATCAATTAAAACACTTTATTGCTGTTAATTATAATAAATTATGGACGTAAATCCTCGGGACGTTAATTCGTTATGGTTATTGTTTGAGGGCGCGTAGGAGCATATGTCTCCTCTCACCTTCTTCATTACAATTTACAGATGCAGAAATTACGTGTATGTGATTTTTTCCGCATTCGCTCGGTATATTTCCCTAATAAAACTAACAAACGGTCGTTAAACTTTATTCTCCGCATAATGCATAATGCATCCCAAAAACTGCAACCGTCTCTCTGCCTTCTTTTCGCTTTCTCTCCCGCAAAGATCGTTACGCAATGGGAATTTGCTAAACGGAAAAAAACATATACACCATTTCAGGACGCACTTAACCCAGTTTTAGTTTAGAACAAAGCGCAGTTTATTGAAATAAATGTACATTTCTTTTGCAAAATATGTCGTTATATTGCAACTACCTGCTTTGATTACACAATGAAATCAATTAACATAATGTGAAGTGATTTTTAATACTTTATATTACGAAAGCGATTTACAGGAGGAGATTATAATTATTTAAGTATCAATTAAATTTGTATCCAATACAAATAATATTTATTTATTTTATCTTCGTTCAAATTAGGTTTTATTTTGTATTAATTGTGATTCTTTCAACTTTTGCGTAAATGTCATTAAATTCAGTAAACTTAATTCCAAGTAGTTTTCTCTTCGTTTGTCATATTCCATCCAAGATTATTTATTTTGTTGGATTCTATTGTATTTTTATCATTACAACAAGTGTCCTTAATACTTACTTAATTTAGTATTAATATAAAGTCCTTGTTATTTGTAAATAAGATTAATAAAAATACAATTTTTATATGTGCTTTTAATTCATCATGTTATTGATTAAGTGAGTATTAAGATAGCAGTTTCCAATCTAAACCAAGTCACATTTTGCTCTTCAATAAAGAAACAGGTATAGTCGAGAGATGAAAGAATAAGTAAGAATGGCATAGGTGCAATTCACAAGTGGCCTTTGAAATGAACGGGAGCCCGTGGTGTGGTTTTTCTGAAAGTGTTATAATCGAGTAAATTTTATTTGCAGAAAACGTCGAGGAGAGAAATAATGTTCGCTTCGGTCGGCGGATGAAAACAAACAAAAAAAAGTATCTCTCCGCAATATTGACAACCATTTATAGAACCATCACTATATATTATACAATTAAATACATTTATAGAATATAGATTAAATTATTAGCAAGTTTTTCATCCTGGTTCGCATGAATTCCCTGCGTCAATGCGGACACGGCCAGGCGTTTACTTATTCTAACCTTTACAGAAAATACATGTCCTTTCTGCACAAACACACGCACGCACACTCCAATCATCCATTTTTTTTTTCGTATCCACGGCGCAGTTATTTATACTTCTCTTTAAGTAAAGCAAACTGGTTTCCTTCCTTCAAACGATTTCGATTTTATAAAATAAATATAAAAATAATTGCGAACGTTCTAAGAACAAATGACACATTTAACCGAATGCTTACATACGCGATTCAATTAAATATTTATAACCGGTCGACAGTAGCTCGCCTTTATTTATTGTTTAATTTTAACTAACAAGATGTTTTTAAATAATTTATTAAAGCATTTTGTAGCAAATTAAAATGGATACACAATATATATACACTTAATTTATCTCATCTATTTTTACTGTTGATATAAACGCCTGAATAATTAAACTCCGAAATACATTACCTATTTTACTTCCATTTGCATGTTAATTGCAATCAATAGTGCACTTTATTACGATTTCTATAATTAAGTCACAAAAAGTATGCCGACAAGAGATAATTGAAAAAAATATCACATATTATATATACGGCTTTTTGTGCAGAAATCCTGAATTCTTTTTTCTTATGTTAATTGAAAAAATAAATAAAATAATAAACGTTTGCCACATTTTTTTGCTCGCATCACCAATTACTTATAATGCCCCAAGGTAAATTACATAAGATTACAGTGTGCAGCTTGACATTTGATTAATTTACGACTATATAAAATTGTAGGTATACTACTTGTCTTGCGGGATTTAGTGATGTACGGATTACACACAAAACCGCACTTTCCGATAAAACTGCAAAAACCTGTCAATAATCACTCTCGATGCATTAAATTTGTGAAATATTGCACTCGATACATAATTTTAAAAAAAAACTTAATAAATATATTTTGATTACTTTCGTAATTAAATAACGAGGAATAAAAAATGCGTCATTATAACATGGTTGTGAATTTATCTTTTTTTTTCGTGGTTGAAAAATATGAGAAACGAAAGTTTTGAAATGTCATCGGATTAAAGTAATTAGCAGAGCGTCGGAAATGTGACGTATGCCAAATATCCGAAGGTGGAGGTAGAGCGCAGAGGGGCCTTAAAATAAATAGTTATATAAACACGGTATCTAAAAGCCCTCTCTCGTGTTCCTTGAAATTCCCATGTAAAAAGTAGTCCTGTCTGCTAATGCATTTAGCGGAACTGTCTTTGTTGGTTGTTGGCAGGCAGTATCTAGTTTTTATCGTTGGATATCTTGAAAACTAGCGGTTGTTTGAACCAACTCACAAAACCGATTTTATATATATATATACACATACACACAGAGTCACTCACTCAGTCTTTCACATTATATACTCTTTATGTATTGGGCATAAAGAGTGGTGAAAATAAATAATATATAATAAATTTGTATTTATTATTTTCGCCGCGTTAATGGCGTGGCGTTTCCTCTCTCTTGGGTCGTCGGCCATCTCACGGCGCAAACGAGGATATGTAACTCATCCCTTTTAATTATTATATATGACTCCTTGTGGTGCAGGCAATTAATTACAGCTCCTCAAATAATAAAGAGGCTAAAATGAGCTCGCCAGTGAGAGAGATTATTAAATACTCACTTTTACGTAATTAAGTGCATTCTATTAAGTGCTCTCTCCACCTTCCTTCCAGATTTGCAAGTCCACTTTTTTTTCCTATACTTATTTTTTTGATATATTAGAATACTTTGAATATTATTTGCAATATCCCATAATTCATATGAATTAATTATTACTAGACTTATTTAAATTAGATAAACCTTAGTTTTATTTAATTATTTTTCAGTTTGCATTTTCTTTAACGAATTTAAAAAAATAACATGTTTATTTATATTTTGTACTTCAATAATTTGGTAATTTGATTATCATCTTTTAAGAATAAACTGATATTTAGATAAAATAATAAAAGCAACAAAAACATTAATTTGTTCTTTAAAACTAATCTTTCTGCATACAAAATAAAACTAGGAAGTATTATTTTTAATGTTTTGTTTTACTTAATATTGTATGAATTAAACATATATGATTAAACATTTTTTTTTAATCCACACGTTACAGTTATCATGCCGATCTACCTACAGTAATAATAATTTGCAATTGACTCAGTAAGTCGGCTCATCTTATTCAATTAAGTCAGATGATTCCAATCTGTAATATAAATCTTGCTGTACAGACTGGTATAGAATTTAAATACGATTTGTAACTGGTCTCTTCCTAATTTTGAATGAAATTTCACTTATAATACTTAATAGTATACATTTTCAGATGTATTATATTAATTTATATGTATAAGAATTAAAATATTTATTGTTTGATTATCAGATATCTTAACTCTTTATTTTAAGTAATAGTGATAGTGACATTAGTTGTGTAAATTGTTGTTTGAGGAACTAAATAAACTTATTATATGGTCTGCATAGTGTAGATAAATGTTCATATTGCGTGAATAAATTGTGATTTTAGGGATATACCAGTTTACAACGTGAACAGAGGAATTCTTCAGTTAAGAGTCTCGCAAATGGCTATAATTGAAAATCGTTCGTTAAATGTGTAATTGAGTATTAAAAAAGCACCGTTAACGTCTATGCTGCGTCCGTGTGTGTCTTATTTCGGTAATGCTTGGTGTACCACCTATATTTACACCGTCGTGCGGAAGGAACGTGGTTTGGGAAACGCTGTTTTAAATGATTGCAGGTAGTAAATGTATATCAGTGTGCTGGAAGACTCCGTCTCCCTTCATTTTTTTTTTTTCGTATTTAAAAAAATAAATAAAAATATATGTGCATATGTACGTATATATGTGTATGTGTGTTATTAATTTGTAATTATATGGCAATTATGAACTTACCTCTTCGTAATCGAGGCGTTCCGTGGCGAGCGTAAAAACGCCGGTTTGCTGGTTTAGTGAGAACACATCGTTGGCCCAATCGCTAATAACGGTGTAGGTTAATTGGGCATTTACTCCTAGATCGGGATCGTTTGCACGAATTTGACCAATTTGCGACCCACGCGCCGCATTTTCCGGAATGTCGAACGAGTACGCGTTCTCCAAGAACACAGGTGGATTATCATTCGTGTCGTTCACCTGCAAAACAGAAAAGACGAGGTAAGGAAATGCATACAACAGTACAAGAACAAACCCAATAAAACGAGCATTGCTCACATACACATAAAAAAAAGTATCTGCGAAGAGGAGAGTTAAATTAAAATATTGTGCGATCGTCCGGGATTGCGCTGAGCAATGCGGAAAAACGGGGACAGGACAGGCCAAGCCAGGCCAGACCATTTGAAAAGGTGCCGACGTGGTATGCGCAATTCCTCTAGCAGTTTATCATTAGTGACATTCAGATGGAAATCTGACAGATTTCATACTAATCGCGCCGGAGCCAGGTTCAGGGGCATTGCACTAATACTTTTTTTCCTCTCTTAGGAACGATCGAAGAAAAACGCATACAGACAACGACGACAATGATGCTGCGACCAGTTAGAACGGATTAATTGAATACCTAATCAAACAGCGTTAATCGATTGATAAAGTCGAGGACTGCATCATTGCAGAAATTATATTTACAGCGAGCTGAACGAACGGCTCTTTCCTCTTCTTATTCTTCCTTCTTCGCAGACAAAGTACAGTTTCCAATTTTAATGCCGATGAATTTTCGCATTCATAGACAATTAATTCCACTTCTGCAAGTTTTGTAAACGTTGCAGGCGCTCGTTGTCATCTTATCAATAATTAAGATCTTTTATGCATCAACTTGTTAGAAATACTTCCTTGTAAACACGTCTGTGCAATATGATTTTCAATGTTTCCACATTTAGAATTTTTAAATAACAAAATAACTTGATAAAGTTATTAGATCTTATTTTTTTAAAGTTTGATTAAATGAAAATAGTTGTCAATTTTTGAATTTATAAAATCTGAATTTAATCAATAAATTTAAATTAAATTTGAAATATATGTTGAAAAATCAATTAGCAAAATACAATTCAAAAATTTCACATTACCAATAGATATTGAAACAACTGTATTTTTGAAATGTGAAATAATGTATAGAAATGATATGGCAATTCTGTATGGTTGGGAAGACAGGAATCCTTAAACTGTGAAACGTAATGAGCTATTGACGTGTTGAGCTATAACTTTCCTACTAGTGAATTATTTATTATTCATTTTATGTGTGGACATTATGCTGTGTTCCGAATATCAATATATTTTGCTTAAATATGTATGTAATTACTGTTACTGCTTATTATTTATACTTATGATTGTAAATACAATTGACAATTATGTTTAATAGTAGTTATGGCGAGTATCTTTCGTAGTTTATCTCAAATCTGTTTTCTTTAATTTTTGGAATATCTATATAAAATTGTTAAAGACATAAAATATATAAATAAAAATGAAATCACTAAGTGAAAATAAATAAATATAATTAAAGTACTTTGTAAATGTGCAGTGCTTAAATTATTGTGATGTTTTCAGATATGGATATAGGAATAAATGATACATACTTGTATAGTGATAACAGTGTCGGTGTATTGGATGCCATCGCTTGCTCTGACTGTCAATTTGTAGGTGTCGACTGTTTCCCTGTCGAGGGTATCAGCAAGCGTCAGAAGACCGGAGTCGGCATCCAGCGTGAATTGGGTGACATTCTCAGATACGAGCGAGTAGCTGAGAGTGCCAATGGTGTCGGGATCCTTAGCCCTGATGGTGGCAACGGGGAGTCCTTGACCCAGGTCTTCGGACACGTAATAGACGAGTGGAGTATCAGCGAACGACGGAGGGCTATCATTCTTATCCAGCACGGTGATTCGGACCTGCAAATAAAGGAAACTATTAATCATTTTGAAACGGCAAATGTGCTTTTCTTGTATGGCGCGATCCGGGATGACCACAACCGCTCAGCCTCAGCCCCTTTGTCCCACCACCAATTTGTCACCGAAATTATCGCCAATTATTACAATTACATAATTGTGGGACTGTCTTCGATAAATCATTGGAAGCGTAAATGTGTTTTCCGTGTAGCTGCTTATCATCTATTCATTCGTCGGGCTGAGAATATTTTATCTGTTTGAGCAAGGGGCGAAGACGATGAGTGCTTACATTGCCAGGAACAGGCACATATATGCATATCCTTATCGCCAGGCGTGGGCGACAATTCATTATAATAAAAAGGCGAACGGATGAAAATACACAAACAAAAAGAAATACAAGAGTACGAGTGTGGTTGTTTGTTTTTGGTTTGTCTGTGAGAGGGAGAGATTTCATGGAAGTCCGACTGGTCGAGCCGTTTCTCTAGTGTTGTAGCTCACTTAATTATAGTTGAAAATTCTTCGGGGCTGAATTAGTCGCGGAATTATTTCGCAATTACAAATTACAGGAGGGAAAAATGCGGCCTGTAATTCAGCGAATGTCCGATTTCGGGGGTTTTTCATTTGGTGGCGGAAACTTTCTTGGCTTTTGTGTTCGGCTTGCGGTCATAGTATTAGTACGATCCTGTTTGTACGCGCATTCCCCGGTGTATGTTTATGAGTCGATGTTGTTGGGTCGAGCAGTTTTTCAGTACGATTTTGAAATATTTGCAGTGCTGCTTGACGTCGTTTAGCGGCTGAAATGAGCTGGCTTGGAATGTACGCCGATGAATGTTGTCGGTGTCTTTTGCCGCTCTGTTTTTGGATTAATTCGACTCGAATACTAATGAGAGCCGAGTATTAACTAAATGTGTTCTTGTTTTCGTCGCTTTATGACGTTTATCCCCACCGCCCTCATAATTCAACGACCATCTTGGACCCATCCAAAAACAACCATCCTCCTTCTTAATCATTTTACGTTCAATACCCTTCCCATCATCTTCTTTTTTTGCTTACAATACTTTCAAACCTAACCAATTTATCTATATTGATAATTCAGAACTTTTCAAAACACAATTTATTACATACACCAACTTTAAATTGAACATTTTTAAGATTGTAATTCAGATATATTAAATATAACTTAAAATATAAAAAAGTGTATCATGAACAACGTATTGTTCAAAATGTATAGTTTGAGATGATTTTTAGAAATTTTATATAAATTATGTTCTAAGTCGATTTGTGCATATATGAGATTTAGTATCGTTTTTATTAATTTACTTTTAATTAGAAAACCCCATTTTCGGAATTGTTGTTTTAATCAATTTACTGATCTAAGTACAACAAGAAATCTGTTTTTTTACCTAAGAAATATGGTAGTGCTAGAAGATTTAATTCGTTGGAAATGGTAATATAATTTAGATTAGATGTAATTGATGGTCTTTTGAAAAGTCAGATCCATATATTTCGAAAACATCCAGTTTCATTTTGTTTTATTGTTGTTTTGTTTCGTTTTATTTTTCGTGTCTGTCCTCTATTCTTCTAATGGTACATCGGTGCGGCGCTGTCACAATAGTGTTAAGATCTCTGTTGTTTCAAGGCTGGTCCGTAAAGGCAGATGCTCGTGGCCCGATAAAAACGTGATGCATTCAATTTCTTTTACCTAAATTAGCACTTATCTAACGTCGAGTCGTTATACAATGACAGTAACAAATATGTATCCGAGTTATCGAGGCGGCCAGCCATCCGCGAAGACAATAACTAACGAACTAACTGTTAATATACATCTGATAAAATATGCATCGCGGACATTCATCCTCCTCGAAGTACATTACATTAATATTTAAGCAACGGAGAGATAAATGCTTGGGCAGGGCAGGAACCTTCGAGTCTCGAGTCCAAGTTCGAGTCGTATGCAGTTAGACTCATCCGAGTCCATCTTCTCAGTACGGGTGCGTTTCATTTTCTGTAATTATCGGAACAAAGTCACGGCGGCCGGTAATTGGTGAGTAAATAATCAGCTCACTAATCTGCAGATCATAAGTCGAACTTTAAAGCAGGCCACCAATTAAAAGACTATTAATAATTACGAGGCCCAAAAGAGCCGCCGGCCGCAGCTCCATTTATCGCTCTTTGTTTCCTCTCCCGCCAGATGCGATCCCTTAAAAAATAATAATAATTTTCACTGAGATTCTACACTCTAGATTCTTGAGTCTAGAATCTAGACTTTCGTATCTTACATGCAACGAGCGAACAATAAATATTGTGAGTCTAGTCTAGCATTCTGGAAAGTCATTAGCAGTATGAAAAGCAAGTATATAAATATTGCGCGTTAAAACGTGCGATAATATTAAAGCATTTTTGTTAATGGCGCAATAAATGTTCACTTAATTGAAGTAGTCGTAAATAATGCCTGCAATACTCATTTTATTTTCGTATCGTTCTACCCAATTTTTCTTTACCTTTCTTTACCACAGAGAGAGCCTAAGCCAGCATCTAGCATCGCATGTCGACTCTCGAAGCCACATAAATTCCAAACGACAACATTTTGTAGGAAGGATTAGGTTGGGTTCAACAATCGCTTTAATTGAACGGCAAGCGCGTTTTTAATTACGCAAATTGATCGCATAGATTTTCACAGCATTCCTTACATTATAAATATCTATGTATTCTTTTTATACTCTTTGATTCTGCATGGCCACAAATTGAATCCCGTCACGTCAACCAGAGAGACGGATAAGAGTAATTGTGGTAATTGAAGTAATTCAATTACATTTAATAAAACGAGGAAGGCAATTAATGAGGAATAAGAGGTGAATGAAGAGACTGATGCAAGGATAAGAGATTAGATACGCCGTCGTTGACCAAATGCAATTAGTCCACCTGATTGCCTTATTATGCGAATAAAGAATACTTTACTCATTTGTAATGTGTAACTCAATACGCCTTCGAACTGGATCTCCGGTAATTGGAGAAACAATGCAAACACTCGCTTATACGAAAATTACATCTAAATTACGTTTCGCTCACGTGTCTAACCTTTTATAGTAAGACGAGAAAAGGGTGAACTATATTTGTCGTGATTAATATTAACTGCGCACGTAATCACTCCGGTTGATTCATAATACCTGATATCGAACTAAGTTCTGCGCGCACAAAAAAAATGAATAAAATTTATGCATTTATTGTTTGAAAGAACCTTTTCAGTTTGCACGTCATGAAAGGAAACTAGTTTCGTTAGTCTGGAGCACTTCAGTTATTCCGGGAAACCGTCTGAATCAAGTTTGCAGACCACCTTGAATCACCCAACATGAGCGTGTAATACTCGTCAGATTGTTAAATAAGCTCGACAACCATGCATGCACAATTGCTAATATCGGACACGCATTAAACATATCATATATTGATTAGTTTTCCACGCCATATACCTATCACATAAACCAATTCAATAAAGTCAATTTAAGAAAGGTTAATCTAAAAATTAAAAAATTGATAGAAACGCAAATACGCGGACACTAATTGCAACGAGAAACGTAATTTGTTTACGCCACTATATTTTTTTTAAACATAAATCTTAATTAATGATTTCACATTATCGTTGATTGTATGAAATAAATCGCCAGAAAGCGTAAATGATTTATGCATTTATTATGCGGTATTGTAGAGTACATGTAGACAATTTAGCATATAATTCTAGTATTCGTAGCTAATACTGTTAATAATTCACGCGCTTAACTCAGAAACCAAACACAACTTTCACACATTGTTGGGCAATTAAATGAAATTACATGAATATGTTAATTATTTCTAAATGGCCTGCATCTCGCAAGTTCATCTCGCGTTTCGATGTAACTTAAAACTTTAATGAATTCACGAATTTATCTCAATTGTCACATTGATGAATAATATTGCATGCCTAAACATGCAATTGAAATTCAGTTGGTTATATGTCTACATTTTTCATTTGCAACGATTCTTAACTTATAATAATAAGAAACATCCTCAACATGTTATATTATTCAAAAATATCTTTTTTACATTGAATATAAAAAAAATATATAAAATACCTTTATTTATATTTTATAAAACAGTCACAAATAAGTAAAGTTAGAAATGCATCAGTTTTAGAGAGTTTTATAAATCATATTGGTAGGCAACAAAGTATCGTAATTGCTTTGAGATTGTAAATTACCGGTAGTTTTAGGAAGAACTGATCTATATAGTAGAAGGTAATAGCCGGGCGAAGATTTGATGAGCAATCGTAATAACATACGTGTGATCTGCATACATTACTGTCAGCGAAAACTGTTAAGACCAGATGTAAACGCGGCGTTACCAGTCTTGAAGTTAAGTTGTTGGAAAATTTGGATGCAATTTAGTTTAACATATATAAAAGGAGCGTTATTCCATTTGAAATATACGAAGGCGAGGGCAGCATTGAAAGAGCACGCAGAGCATAGCATAGCAGAGAAGCGGAGGAGCAGAAGAGGTGGACCTTTTTTTCTGTTCTGGGTTGGCCCGGAGGGTGTCTTCGAGGAGCGCAGCTTTTTATGTCTCGGATTTTAGGAAGGTTTCGTATGGTTGTGTGTGTACGGTCGGTGATTATCTGCGAAGTGATGTATGCGGCCATCATAACATGAAATGTGCCTTCAGGACATCCTCAACTATAATCTTTCTATCAAAACTGATCTGTATACACGAATCAACCGTGATCTATCGATTTCACCGTAAAAGGCATTCCACAAAAACTTTCGGATTGTTTTATAGCGCGAAGTAGTTGTTTTATTACCGATCATCTGCATAATTGTTTCTCATTTCGTTCGTGTTTGGCCTTTTTGGTTGTTCCTCTCTGCTCTGCTCTCTTCATCCGATGATGCCGCAGCACAACCAATCTCCGTTTTTTTTTTAATATAAATTCGTTTGATGGGACGACGGCTTGATTTGTTGCACGCCATCACGAAAAT